TGAACAAGGCACGAAATGGAAAAGAATCGGCGACAGGCCACATCAGGCCTACACTTCAGCGCCGACATCACTATGTTATGTTATGTTATGTTAACTTATTGAATCCTTAATTTCACAATAATCGTTAATAAAGACGCTCCATAACCACTGAGCATTGGCGTGAAATGTTTCCGCCATCTAAAATTTTGTCGAACTATTGAAAATGTGCATGAAATGAATCATGGCTCTAATAACTCAGCTAGCGTTCAATGGTGTCGAAAACATTTTTAGGCTGAACTGCATTTCCACAAAGATGAACTGCGCTATGATATCGCAATGAACGAAAATATCATCTTACCAGACCGAATGTTACTGTGCTTATAATCACCTGATGGTTTTAAACTATATTTTATCTGCAATATTTTCCCTATTAATAATAACAACGATATGAAAAAATTCTATTTGATATTAAACTGTAGACCAATTGAAAATTGAAATAAACATTTCATATACTCACGGTCCACTAATGTCGTTTACCCCTACTCGATCATTCTTGCTTGCGGTGTGTGATGGAACAGGGAATCTTTCCTGTAGCATAATTCTAAGAGATCCAGATGAAGTGATGAGATGAAGCCAGACTCCACAAATTTACTTCAAGTTACATGGAGATAGACTTATCATTCATAAATATTATCCCTGAAGTTGGCGTTGGTGATTGTCTTTTTTGGCTTTTTCATAAGTCAGATAAGTAGCAAGTTGAAACTTCTACTGAGAGCTGATATAGTAAAAATACGTGATTTCATACTCGATTGGTAACGTTTGGCATTGTTATAAACAAAATCTTGTTTGGGACAATAACGAGTCAGTGGAGTCATGATTAAACCTTTTCATTACAATAGAGTGTATTCCTGCATGTTTGGATTGTTTCGCATTGAGTTCATCACATGAGTGACCATATGCATAGGATTATTTCAATGTGTTTTCAGTTCTGTTTGGTGCCGAGGATATATAAACAAGCCTTGTGTAGGGAAGTTCATTCATTCCCATACGTTCATGTTCTTTAGACTTTAGAGCGTCTTCGTACGATAAAATATCACTCGCCGCTGGAGTAAATGAGTTTGCGCAGGACAATAATTTCCATTCAATTGTATGGCCTCCAAAACATCGTTAACTAAGAGTACAAATAAGTTTTCATCAGTCATTTAGATGCTCCTTTGCGTGACATTCCCTTGCAAGTTCAATGTGAAGACAGCAACGCATTATTACGAGTGTGAGTAATCGAGAAGGAGCGACCACAATTTGTGTCCATCCATGCCTTCTATTTCCTATGTTTCAGCCAGAAATCTTCGACTCAATCGCCTGCTAAGGACACACTTGGGAGGGGTCCGAGCCGCCCAAAGAAGACAAGCGTCTGGAGCAAATTTTCCGCTCTCACGGTTGTTGTATGTCCTTTGTAATAATGTTCGATTACGAAACGGATGCAACATTCAACATTTGCCTTGCATGACTCGGGGAGTCAACTGAACCTGAGCTAATTCTAATATTTTGATCCTAAAACTTCATTCAAGTGTTGTTTAGAGTCTACAGTCTAACTTTTTATTCATATAACTGTTCAGTCATCAATTAAATATTGATTTGAGTTCAGGAGTTATGGCCTTTCATTTACTTGTAAGTCGCAAGAATTTCTTTTTTGCGTTATTTTGGGCATTTTAATTTAGAATATTTGTATCTATGCCATGTCACTTTGCTAACAGGAGCATTTATACTCTCTTCACACTCGTATTTATTCCCGAAGATATTAAATCCTTTAAACCTGCATTTGAGTCCAGTCTCATGATCAATGAATTTGGTAACCTTCCGTTCTCAGCTGTCAAAACATTTATCTACCTGCATGCTCTGGCAAGTCGAGCTAAGCATCGTCATATGACCGTAGTACCCATCTATGAAGTGCTGCATCTATGGGCAACATCATTCAAGCATCTTTCGACATTCATCAAGCGTCTTTCTCATTTATATTAAACATGACAAATTGTCTTCTTATTAATTCATAATTTACTCAAGATTTTACCGACCGGATTGCACATCCTTTTTCGAGCTCTCGGGGTCCTTGTATTGAGTGTTATCGTTATTTGCATGTTCTCACGGATATGGAAAATCTCACTTTGGTGAGAATACTTTTAATTAATTTTAGATTTATTATCTCATTTTATTAATACATTATTTTCATCCGTTACCACTTTTTAGCTGCAATAAGTCCCTTAGATGTGAAATACTAGGTGCTCCATATTTTTAATTCAATTTAATCATATTTTATTCTGATTTTGATGATCCGTTCCGGGAAACGGCTTGAATTAATGAATGCACATACCAACTCACTTGTTGTGCCAGCATTTTACTTTCGTTTGCCCGCCTGAGTTTGACGGCAATAGAACATCTCGGCAAAAGACTTGCAATACGAACCCGCGAGAAACGTATCATTTGGAAGCTCGTATCAGTCAATCAAGACATAAGTTCATTTTTTCGTAAACTGTGAATACTGATTTAATTTATTTAATTTTTCACAGTTTTTGCGAGTTACATTTGAAGCAACTTGTAATTTTTGTAGATAATTGATGGAACTGGTGGTCCAGTTGAAGTTACGTTTTCTCGAATGGCTTATCCGTTTCACGCAAATCATTTAATCATAATTAAACATCGGTGGATCGAAAGCTTCTAGCCAATATCGCTTTTCATGACTGCACCAACAGAAGAGAGCCCATTCATAACCTTAGCAGAGCATTTATACAGTCTTCTGCATATTCGATTTATTTTATGTCTCCGTGTTTTGTCGACAGTAAGCTGTGCGGAGACTTGGTCTACGTAATACTATTCCCCCAACTGACAATGGTGCTACACTTCAGTGACCACATCAATACGTACGGATCTTTCGTCGGCTTCTGCATAGGCCTAGCAGTACGGCTACTTGGTGAGTCAGCAGTTTCAGCGACTATGCAATGTCATGTTTCCTTAAATGCCAGACGAGATATGTTCAAATCGGGTTAAACTATGCTGAAAATTGTAATTTTTACAGGAGGGGAGCCATACATCCACTTGCCGGCTGTGATCCACTACCCGTATTTTGACTGCGCGAGAGGAGAACAGAACTTTCCTTTCAGGACCATGTCCATGTTGGCCTCACTACTGAGCATCATTGTTTTTTCTGCACTAGCAAAGATGTTTTTCAAACGCGGTATTCTTCCTCTCAGGTATGCAAAATCAGCAAAAAAAAAACTCTAATTACAACTCTGCTCTTTAACTTCACTTCTTGTTTGATTGTTTGTTTGTCTGTCTGCTACAAATCTTATAATCGATATTTAACACACTTCTACCTCTCCTATCGATCTGAAATTTTGCACACTTGCATAAAGTTGGAGACAATGCATGAATCAATTAAAAGAATAAATAATTTTAAAAATTAAGAAATAATTTTGTCTGTTACAAATCTTATAATCGATATTTAACACACTTCTACCTCTCCAATGGATCTGAAATTTTGCAAACTTGCGTAACGTCGGACACAATGCATGAATCAATTGATAGAATGAATAATTTGGAACATTTAATTTTGTTTGAAATTAAAAATATATACATTTTTTAGTATACGAAAATAAAATTAGAAATTCATCGTACATGTGCAACATCCGAGACACTAGGTTCTTAAGAAGTGATGTCTTTAAAAAGTAATTTTTAAACCCATATTATTTTTCATTTCAAGAGCTCTTCAACGCTTGCGATTGCAAACAGAGAAACTATTAGAATAAATATAATGTCATTACAGCTTCTTAAGTTCTTAGAAGCTGATCGCAATATTTCAACAGTTTTATTACCTGCAGGTATGACTTATGTCATTGTTTCGGACCGGACGCGGTTGTGCTACACGGACAAAAAGATGAAATAAGCATGTGCGAGAAATCTACTCTCTTGAACGAGCGACCGCGTCAAACCAGCTCGACAGAAGCCTGCTCCACTTGAATGCTTTTTACACGCTGATGATTGTGCTTGCAATTGGCTATAAGTGGAAGTTGACTATATTCTTATGACTTGAGCACGTAATAATAAGATGAGATTTTCATATTTAAATCATGTTCAACCTTGCCGTACCCTACCATACTACACAATACGCCGTTCATTTGTATCATACATCATCTTCGTATAAAAATAATTTAGCGAATGTAAATAATCAGGTACTCGTATTTTGCGCAGGAATATTATCGCAGAATAAAATATATACATCGTTTAATAATTTTTGCATACAAAATTATGTGGTATTTATTGTTTTCTCAAAAATGATCAATCAGATAACATCCCTAATGCGAGATATTTATCAAACTTCTGATGTTTTTAAACTTGAATGAATTTCTCTCAGCGGGGCAGCCGAGTGCTTCGATCGTGACGACAAGATTGGAGCTGTGCGTTGTGGGTTTGAGCCCCAGGTAACTGTAACATTTAAAGCCGATATCAGCGAAGGTTCGAAGATCAGCTGGCTGTGAAACTTCTGTAATGTGTAAAATCAGTGCCAGGTCAGACAGGCTTTACGTTCAGTAGAGATGTAACTATATTAGATTCTTAATTTATTGTTGCATTAATTGTGCGAGATCGCATTAACGTTACTTAATTCTCAGCTATGGCAGCTCTGTAAATACTCAAAATACATAGATAATAACTTTCTTCTTACTCATACAAATCAATAGATGCATCTACCTAGCTTTGATAGTTTAGACGTAGACAATTTACGAAAGCGGTGATTATATACTGAATTTTTGTTAGGCTCGTTCATTTGCATCGTCGTTAAACATTCCGACGGTAAATAGATCTAATTATAGTTATACATTTTCGTGATCTTATAATGTGGTAAATTATTTTATGGTATCTTTAATCTGATTTATTATAAAATTCTAATCTCCACCGTCACGAGCCCTATTTTTACACTGCATCATATCATTTTTTTTTGTCTCCAGTTCTTTCAATGTATTTATAGTCTACATTTTTATCACGCTAGCATGGAAAGTTTTTCTTCTTCACATTCACTTTGTAGTATTTTATATTCAGATTTATGAAATTTTACTTACATAATTGTGTATTTTATTTTCATTCCTAAATGATCACGGTTTTAGTTTGAGGAACACTCCTTGAACTAGGCAAAAGTAGGTCCAATTTTTTCCAAATTTTCTTCTTTAGATAATACTATTCAGAATTGAATTCAACCGGACAATTTGCAGCGATTGGCTTTGAACTTTGGTAAATTTTATCATTTGTTCTGATACGAAAAGAGACCAACCAAGATAGATAGAGCCTGGATAGTTGAAAATCTAGCTGTATTATGTCCAGCACATACATAATTATTATTTGAATATTCTCGTCCATATTTTTATGAGCAAGAAAATGATTTTAATTGGAATATTTGTCAAAATTAGTCTCATAGAATCCTGACAAATTTCGATTTATATTTTGAGCCCCCTTCTTTGACGGAATTTTGCATCAGTATAATGTTATGATTCATTTTGTTGGAATCAGTAAAGAAAACTGTGCAGAGTCTCATCTTTGTAGCCATTCTCATGATTATAATAATTAGCGATTATTATTTAATTGCCATACCATTATCATCTTCAATTTTATACGACCTCAAAAACTTCATTTAAACTAAAAACCTCACGGACTAACTACCCTTGAGACCTTACGGGTAAAGACCCTTTCTACTACGGGACTGACTCTGAAGGATTGAGACTGGCCAGAGACCAATAAGCCTCATGGCTGGGCCTCAAAACTGGCGTGCTCATTTCCACTAAACGCGCATGTGCTGGGATCGAGACTGAGTTCCATCTGGGCTACCGCTCGGCCGCGCTCGACATTTCAGTTACTCGTTAGCTTTTGAAGTCGTATTGTGCTGCCGCTCTTGCTTTACTAGCTGTTGTCACTATGCGCAGGCGAAGGCACAGGAGGAAAAAAGAACCATTTGATGCAAAGAATGGCTATTGAAAAGGTTTTCAAGAGGAAGTTACGGAAAATTGTTTCAAGAAATATAATCGAGAGAGAGCGATTTCTTCAGTTACTTGCGAATCCCTTCGAATATTTTCTATTACATCCATGATAAAGTAACGCTATTGATTTCTCGCAAAAAAACACACTTTCGTAAGAGTATTTCTGCTGGTGAAAGACTTGAAGCAATTTTAATTTATTGGCTACAGGTGCTTCATATACCCGACTGGAGTTCCATGCGAGAATTTCAAAAACATAACTCTGTCCCAGATAGAGTTCTGCAAGGCAATTTACAGCGTGCTGAAGGAAGAGTACATGAAGGTGAATAACAAATTGAATAGCTATGTGTTCTTCATATCTGATTACCCTCTGTAGGACTCCACTCTTCGCACGATAATAGGGGAAATAATTCTACAATGATTATAAGATTTTTATTGTTATTAATGGCAATTCCTTTTGAAATCCCTTGTGAAATATATATAAAAAACGCCAACCTCGTTATGTGATTATGTTGTTTTTAGATCGTTGAATCCTGTATTAGGTTGAAGCATATTTAAGGAAGCATAGAAAATAGTTTCGCTGATTAGTTTCTTTGCTATTATGCATTGGTGTCTATCAACTTTTGCCAAATCGTTGGCCATTGATCTGCCCCAAATCGAAAATTCATCTTCCTTAGCTTCCTTGAGTAATGTTGCAACCATTTGCAGTATTTCAGCTTCAGAATCTTCCGCGCGTTTTCGTTTCTGAACTTTATTTAAAGCGGGCCTTTCCTTGAACGCAACAGACTTCGGTGCATTTGGCTGAGACAGGGATGAGTCACTTGTTGGTGTAGGACTTCTCGTCACTCTTTGGGGTTGTACTGCTGGCCTTATTATAGCTTGTTCTGCTGTTCCTGATGAATCGAACTGCCCTTTCTGGGCAGAAGTGTTTCCTCCTTCGACATCTTCAAGGTTGGGCAAATGCACTCGCAGACATGTTGAGTCATTACTTGGAACTTCCAATGCATCAGAGAACATTAGTGACGTTTCGTTCTCATTTGAAGTAGTGGGAGTGCTGGCCTGAAACAAAAAAATAAGAAAGTAGTCACTACTACTTTCTAATCTACTAATAGTAGATTAGAAAGTAGTAGATTAGAAAGTTAGTAGAAATTTACTTTCTAATCTACGAAATACTAATATTTTATCCACTTAGATAATTCAGCGACACTGAGACCAGTAACTTGGATGTATTTCGAGTGTCTCAAGAGCAAGACAGCTGCCTCAGTTCGAATGGATAGAAATATTTTAACGTATTTATAGACAGGATGTACTCATTCATTTCCTTTGTTGCATAAGTTCTGGCATTTATTCGTTTTTTATTCTCTTGTATAAGGGTGTATTTTTTAGTGTATAGCCAGAGCTGGGCAGCGCTACTTGGAAATGTAGCGGCGCCACCGCTACATGCTCTAAATGTAGCGGGCGCTACCGCTACCGCTACATGCTCTAAATGTAGCGGGCGCTACCGCTACCGCTACATGCTCTAAATGTAGCGGGCGCTACCGCTACCGCTACACCCACTAGATTGTAAGGGGTTCTACCGCTACAGTAAAATGTAGCGCGCTACATTAGCCGCTACAATGCCCAAAATTATTGGAAATCTCTAAATATTTATTGTTCTGCTATTGGGATTTACTCATTAACATTTAATGNGTAAACAAAAGAGTTTTGTTGGAGGGTAGCCGGTCCCCTTAAGTAAAATCTAAAGGCTTTATCTATAAATGTAGCGGTAGCGCTGTAGCGGCAAAACCTCGTATCGCTACTTAAATATGTAGCGGGCGCTACCGCTACCGCTACATTGCCTTAAATGTAGAACCGCTACCGCTACCGCTACTGAAAATGTAGCGGCCGCTAGTAGCGGCCGCTACATGTAGCGCGCTACTGCCCACCTCTGGCTATAAACTAAAAAAAACAGCACTGCAATTCATCCACGCGACAACATTCCTTCTCGCATCGAAGCACCGACATGTGGAACAGTCTCCCCGATTACATTGTTGGCGCTCCGAGTATGACTATGAACGCGTTCAAGAACAGACTAGATAAAGCTATGGAAAAATATATGTTCAGACTTGAAATGCCTAGCACCATATCGAACCCGGTGGAAGTCTAGTAGCTATTTCAAACTATCGTCAGTCTTGAAAAGATCCGGTCAAAGGACAAGATTTTAGATCTTCTGTGAACAAGTCACGAAAAGTACAAGAATCAGCGACAGGCCAGATTAGGCCTTCTCTTCAACGCCGACATCACTATGTTATGTTATGTTAAAAGGACTTGAACAGTATTCCAGCTATTGCGGAGCGCCCAGTCGACTCTAAATTAACAAGTTTTGAAATACAAGAAGAAAAGGAACTAAAGCGCCTGATCGCTCTAAATCCAAACAAGTCATGTGGACCGGACGGCTTCCACCCCAGATTATTCAAAGAGTTAGCAACTGTCCGAGCCGGCCCTCTGAGGTCAATTTTTCGAAAAACTTCGAACGAAGTGATCTTGCTGGCTGACTGGAAAGAAGCTCAAATGACACCATTGTTCAAAAAAGGTTACAAAAACTGTCCGGGCAACTATCACCCTGTCAGTTTGACAAGTGTCGTTTGCAAGGTAATGGATTCCGTTGTGAGGGATCGATTGATCGATCATTTGACTGCTAATAATCTCCTATCAGACTGTCAACATGCCTTTTTTGCCGGTAGATCAGCCATCACTAACCTCTACTCTGAATGAATGGACCCGCCTGCTGGACGAAAGGGAGCCAGCAGATGCATTGTACCTCGATTTTGCCAAGGCATTTGACTGTGTCCCACATGAGCGGCTGTTGCGTAAATTGAAGTCTTCGGGAATTGAAAGTAATGCACTCAAATGGATCAGAGATTTTCTAGTAGGGAGACGACAACGTGTCAGTATTAATGGCTGGGTCCGTATCAGACTGGGCCTCAGTGCGCAGCGGCGTGCCACAAGGAAGCGTTCTCCGGCCTGTTTTATTCGTTGCGACACAAAAGTTTATGATACAGTGAAGAATACGTCGCAAAATGTACAGATGCAAGGTGATCTTGACAGTTTGTTGACTGAGCTGATAAGTGGCAGCTGTGTTTTTCCGCTGACAAATGTAAAGGAATCCCCCTTGGCAAGAATAATGAACAGCAAGATAATAGTATGAGAAGACACGGTTGCAACGACAGAATGATGATGATGTCGAAGTCGACAATGGAAAAAGATTTAGTAGTTAATGTCGACAATGAGTTGAAATTTTCTAATCATATTGAAGCTCAAGTTTATAAAGCCAATAAACGACTTGGACTGATCAGACGCTCTTTCGAGTACATAAATGCTGAAGCTGTGAAACTGTTGTTTGTCGCCGTCGTGCGTCCGAACCTAGAGTTTGGAAACGCCGCGTGGTTACCAAAACTAGAAAAAAATTTAGTCGAGAGTGTTCAAAGACGTGCAACAAGGATAATTATGGGATTAAAAGGCAAGCCTTCTGAAGAAAGGTTAAAGATTATGAAGCCCAAGCCTCTATTATCGACGTCTGCGCGGAGACCTCATTGAAGCATACAAGTATACTCATGGCTTATACAAGGTCCCAGAAGGATTACTAGAATTTGAAACAAGAACCAACACCAGGAGCCACGGCTATAAACTAAAAAAGCTGCGTTGCAATTCATCCACGCGGCAACAGAACAACTAGATAAATCTATGGAGAAATATATGTTCAGAGTTAAAATGCCCAGCACCTTATCAAACCCGGTGAAAGTTTAGCAAATATTCCAAACTATGGACAGTTTGGAAAAGTTCCGGTAGAAAGACCTATTTTTAGATCTCCTATGTACAAGTCACGAAAAGTACAAGAATCGGCGATAGGCCACATCATTCCTATTATTTAGCGCCGACTTCACTATGCTATGCTAGCCTAATAGCAGCTATGAAACGCAAGAATATTTTCAAACTTCTCATTAACATAGTTTTTCTGTGTAATAACATGCATTCGCCATGGGATTAAAAACAACATTATCTCATTATACCTTTAGTGTAGCTAGAAAAAGTAAATACAATAAATACGTCACAATGTTTAACCGTATCTTATTTTTGGTCTATAGATATAGATATGTATTATAGCGTGTTCCACAAATACTGCACCTATTACTTTTGTATTTATTTACTCTTTACTGAGTATACATACACTAAAAGTATAATAAGATAATTAAGGTTTTTTATTCGACGGACGAGTGAATGCATGTTAATAAATAGATAAAATATGTTAACAAGAAGTCAGGAATTATTATTTTCATTTGAATCAATGTATTTGTATTGAGAGTCGAATTAAAATAATAGTTTATTTCTAGTTCATAATAAATTTATAAAAACCACTTACCGAGCTTTCCATTTCATCCAGAGATGAAATTGACGGTCGTTTCTCATCTTCATCTGTGAGGAATGATAGTAGATTGAAACACCACAACCGCGGTATAAATCGATCCTCGGCATCGGCACAGGCTCCAGATTTCAGGATTTCATTCTTTTTATTCATCTCTGTTCTAAATTGACATCGCAGAGTGTGAATTTTTTTACGGATTTTTTCAATGTTAATGGATGTATCTAATTTCTCCAATTCTTTACTTATTTTCTCTAATGCTTGAATTCTCAAGATTCTGTCTTTGTAAATAGAACTTTTTACTTGCCAGAGGCAAGGTGCTTCTCTATATAAGTCGATAAGCCTTTCAGTTATATCTCTGCTCCAGACTCCATCCTGCGACATGGTTAGCAAAACAAAGAGACAGGCAATGGTTCGTATATTGGAGCGACAGCCGCACTTAACCTTATGGGACGGAAGTCACAAAGACACTCCCGCTGCCCCGCATGTGTGCGCTAGTCTCGATTCTCGAACTCTCGATGGGCCGGACTGCCTCAGTCTGGACTGAAAAAGCCAGTTTTTCAGGCGCCATTTGCGCAGAGACTAAATTCATAGTGGAAAAGGGCCTCAAGCCTGTATAGATCAGCAGCTGGAGCCTGTAATCTGATAATACTCATTTAATACTTGCGCAGGGTGGCGGTTAATTTTTTGATTAAAATAGGAGTCCATGACAATGACATGATGGTGGTAATTTTTTTTCAATTTTAGAGTATTAAACTAGAATGGAAAGTGAATCAACATTGTTCATATCAACATTGTTTCAACTTTGAAATTGCATTGAAATCTGACATTGAAAGTGCATGTGCGTTAATTAATTTAATTAATTAATCATGTTAACATGTTCTATTATAAATTTCATAGTATATATGACTATGCAGTATGCCGGGATAATGCCGCTATGCGCACTGTATTACAATAAATAAAATGAGCTGTATTTATTACCTATATAGAAATGCTACTTGCTACCCTAATAATAGGGCCTATTATATATATTCAAGCCCCTTTACTTCTCCCCTTGTTAAATCAAATCAATCTTAGCGGGAAGCCTGGAATGGAACCCCAACTTTGGCTTGTGTCTGCATGCTTTGCCTTTGGGTTTTTCCCAATTCCCACCACTCCACCAGTTAGGTACTACCAGAGACCAGACCACATTGAATCTTGCATTGCAATTTGCAAAGAAGTAGAAGGTTAAGCTATTCTATCAAAATTTTTACATCATAACACATTGAAAAGTCACTTCTATCTTCAATGACTAAACTATACACTGACTGGTCTAAATTAAGCCTGGTGCAATATAGGGCATAGGGTAAATGCGGTATATTTTGTCACATTAAGGACGCATTGAGAAATGAAAAACTATAAAAAAATAACCGTATGCGTTACTCAAGTTCTGTTTGCTTTAGGTGACTCTCTAAACACCATAGTACGCGTTGGCAACGATGAAACATCACACAATGTTGCCATATTTATGTAAAAGCCTTTAGAATGCAAACCTACCAAATCCCTATATTCCGTCACTGTGTGTGGCAATATTCGGCACGTGGTGAAGACTGAAGCGTATTCCGTCCACACTTCAAATTCTACTGATACGTAATGCCATCATCCACGTGTTCGAATTCCGTTTGCTGTGTGAGCTGTATTGGGATACAACACGGCTTTGAATTAGAACACTAATTAATATTGAACACTACTTAATTACGCTTTTAATTAACAACTATTAAGCTTTTAATTAAGCAAATTTTAATTTTTGTACATAGCTTGGAACGATCTGTGTGTGTCCAATTCAAGTTGTGATGGAATTAGTTTTCATGTGTCTAAATCCATTTCTCAACTTAATCATCTATTAATTTATTTACCACTTGAAATCAGCAAATACAACTTTACAAGTATACCTAAAGGATTCCTAATATATTCACAGATGTATTTAAAAGTCTCAAACCATAATATTCTTCCTATACAAACAGTTATTCACTATTTGGTAGAGCAAGGTCAACTGTCAAATTTGACACATTTTTCGATGATCTCACTGGGTAGCGTGCATTGGCTCTCTTTGGATCTCAATATTTTCCCGCTAGATGGCCAAGACCTAGTGTTTTGGCATTAGTTTTACGCTCAAATGTGTGACGTCACCATTTCAACCATCAACAAACGCATGGAACTAAAACAAAGCTTAATATAAAGGAAAAACTAGAGAGGTGAGGGAATTACCCACAATGACGGAATATACCGTGTTTACCCTAGGCTAATAAAGATAATATAAAAGTACATGCTTTTTAGAGATTTTGAACCAAATCCACCAATCAATGCTTTTTATGGAACATTCCATGACACACTAGCATCTTTCCTCACAAGACACACCAGGGTACTGAATAAACAAGGTGGACAGCGTCAGCCAACGGCCCAACAACAAGAACAGTTCAATGGACAAAAATGTGAACTTTTTCAAAATGAATAGACTTGCTGCAGTCAGGTTTTGAGTTATTAAATGCCTAAAAATATTAAAATTTGATGTTTCAAACTTACACTGAATGGGGCAGCTCAGTGTATAATGTTTGTATTAACAAGATTGTGGCAGTATGTTTGATCCCTGCTTCAGCTTTGATCCCAGTGTCAAATCTTTGTGGTGGCTGGACTGTAAAGTACAGCGTACGCAAGTGCAGTGAGTTGCATGTTTGAGAGTAAATCAAAACCAGCAACAAGGTGTGTCTGGTGTGAAAAGTTATGCCATGTTCAGGATCAGTGATAGGTGTAAATGTAATAGCCTAATCTTCTACAGCAACACCACTATAATAATTTTAAAATATATTATGATATTAAATTCATTTATTTCATTAGAATTCAAGAAATTTCAGAATGCAGATATAAGTGCAATCCTGCAATGCATGCGGACGCGGAAGGCTGGGTAGGGGTAGCTTGTGAGAGCGGTTACGTTTTTCCTACAATATGGGTCAATAAATTTGTGTTCTTGGCTGTGGCACCAATCTTGTGTTATAACATTCTCTATAGTAATAGGTAGATTTTGTGATCACTTTTTTTTTGTTTCAAACTTGCTTGAAAATTGTTGTAATCTTAAGTTTTGATTCTTCATAACCCAAAATGGTTTTCTGTTTCTCAGTCAGAACAGACCTTGCTGCTGCCCTCCTCACACTTTGGGGCCTCAGCCTGGTTTGACACTTTGGGCTTTTGAAGTTGGCCATTTTGGTTTGCTCAATACCAAAATCTTATGTTTCTTCTTATTTTTTTCATTCTTTTTTATTTTTTGTTTCTTGGATGAGCTGAGGGTCTGAGGCTGAGCTATGCAGAAGCAGAGAAGGCTAGCTCAGTAGCTGGGAAATTGAGCAGAAGCCACCTGTCACCTGTGAATCAAACAAAAACACCCATGAATCTGGCCAATTTCTCTCATTCTTATGACCTTTTTTCAATTTATCCTATTCCTAATTGGCTAATCTTATGGTATTTTCCTGATTTACTGACCATTTGGAAATAAAAAATACAGAAATATTTTGTTTCCTATTATCTCCAGACTCCTATCAATTACTTGATGCTTGCAATGCTTCCAAATACTGGTACTACATATTCACTATACAGGTATGGAAAGCAGCTTTCAAGAGTAAGCAGTCCATGTGAGTATGTTTATGACTGTGCCTTTCCCCTCATTTATATAGAATCGTAAAACAAAGTAATGAACTTATGATTAATTTATTATAGATACTAATATGCTTCTTAAATAGCATTATATATTGCACTAAACTCTCATTGCTTGGAGATATCTTGTTCCTAGGATGCTGAAATTAAACTTGACGTTTGTTAGAGGTCTATGTATATTGTAAAATCATAACTTTATTGCAACTACTACTCTATTCTTAGTTTTAAATGAGATATTTGTTTAATACTTGTGAGGTTTTTAAAAGATGTATACATATATATATATATCTTCAATCATTAATACTGTTAATGGATTTCAGGTGCTGCAAATTTGAGTGGGTTAACTTTAAAAAAATTGTATATACAGTATTCCTTTGTAACCATAATTGCTTTAAATTTATAATGAAACTGTGTTGCAACCTGGAAGAAAGACCTCTTTTGATCCAGTATGGTCAGAAATACCTATAACTAAGACATTTGTTTTGGAAATTCATGAAATTTGTAATTCAAGGGAAAAGTTGAATTGTTGCAGTTATTACTAGATGTCAAGTTTTAGCAAATTTTAATAGTATGGCCCCATGACTTGCTATTGCATTTAATTGGAATTCATGTTGTGTAGAAAATGTCAAGTTGAAAAATATTTATGTTTGCATTTGGATCACAAGCAATATCACTGACTCTTTTCAGCCTACAGCTAGATGAGAAATTGGGAAACTATAATATATAGTCATGCTTATACAATACTGTCATGAAGAATAGGGCTTGGCACAGTTTATTTTGTTGAAATATTTTTTACCTCGTGTTTAAATTTCCTCAACTTTCTGCAGGTCAGCGACCAGCTGCTCAATTGATTCAGTGCCTCCACCCTTTTCTGTTGGGGCAACAGAATGGTCAATGCTACAGCAAGGATAGCAAAAAGCTGCCACTCCGTGACACACTTGATCATGAACCTGATCTTGGCCTTGACTTGGAAGGTGATTTAAGTATAGAATTTTCTTGCAAGTTCTTGCATCAATATTACTATCATATATGCTGTAAAATGGGTTAACTTTGACCACTTTTTTTTAAATGATGTCATTCATTTACTAAATAAGCTAAACTTAAATTGAAACATGCAAAATACAGGTCTATACTTTAGCTTATCATCAATTTATCACCATAAATTGCTGGCTCCTGCCTCTCATAGTTTTGAGGTAATTTAAAAAAAAAAGTGATGGTCTTTGTTACCTCAGCTCTTGGGGTTTCTTTGACTGGGTGGTAAAATCAATTTTATTTTTTGTTAAAATAACTCCAAATAACTCCAGGTTTTGGTGCATTGTAGTAGAACTCTTCTAGTTACATATGCAAATGACAAATTTTAGGAAAGTGTCATAGTTTACAAATGGGGGTGCCACCCCCAAATGGGGGGAACTTAGACCACCTAATGGCAGCTGTGATGGGGTAACATTGATTGGCTTGGAAATTAAGTTAAAATTACCATATATAAGACTCTGTAGAGTCTGAAACATAAAGAAAAAATATTAATAGGTGTATCAAACATAAAATAGGTTATATAGGTACCTATGGTAATTTTAACTTAATTTCCAAGCCGGTCAATGTTACCCCATCATGGCTGCCCTTAGGTGGCCAAAGTTCCCCCATTGGGGGGGCGGCGCCTCCCATTTGCAAACTAAGACACTTTCCTAAAATTTGTTATTTGCATATGTAACTAGAAGAGCTCTACTACAATGCATCAAAACCTGGAGTTATTTTACCAAAAAATAATAAAATTGGAGGGGGTACTCCGACAGGCTTTAAATAATAGCTCTTTTTTGTGGGTCACATTTTTAATTTTTTAACCTTTTAGTTATGCAAACTTTTTAAATCTTTCTATTGTGTTACGTAGCCTCAGTATTAGGCCTTTAATGACCATAGACAAAATTTTTTTATGTCAATTAGTTTTTGAGTTTTGGCGGTTTTTGTTAAAAAAACGAAAAGTGGTCAAAGTTACTCCAGGAGTTAAAGTATCCCCATTTTACGGTACTTGCATAAATAAATGGGAGAGATAAATTCCATGAGCTTTATAATAAATTTTGCACTTTTCACAGAGCATGTGTATGAAGGCAAGCATCATAAACTGGGCACAAGGGTGTATATATGGGGTGTAGCGGCTCATGGGGCTCTGGGCCGTGCTTCATTTGTGAATCCCATTCTCTCCAAGCGTCAGACACCCATTGACTGTCGTCTTCACCCTCACCGGCTTGAATTTGGAGAAAAACACAAGGTGATATGGACATACAGCTATTTTACTTCAATAACCTTGTATGCTTCTTTCACAAAAATGTATATTTTATGACTCAGTAAAGTTATCATCTAGATTTGTTTCAAGTGGTCTTTAAATACCACATGAAATTTGCTATACATTTATGAAAAAGATTGCATGGAAAAACTAAATTTTATTATAATTCATTTTACTTAATTTGTGGTAATTCTTACTTAAACATGTGTTGCCATTACAAAATTGAGCAACTCGTCTCATTGCATGCGGAGAACCTGGATTGATAATGATACAGTAAGGCACTAGTATGGATCTACCTAGCTGCATGAAACTGCAGCTTGCAGTGAAAAATTTTCAAACTGTTATTTGAATGACTGAAATAGTTGGTTTGTAATTGATCAATAGTAAATCTTGACTGACAAAGAATTTTAACTGAAGGTGTGAGAATATTTGGAAAAAGACAATGAGGTCCACTCCACTTTTATTATGAATAACTTTCATAAACTATTGTCAGTTTCATACCTATATTTACATGTATTTTTTTAATAGCTATCTTATCTCATCGCCTACATTAAGAGCCAAAATGAATTTGAAAAATTTCTTGTAGTGGTAGTTTGAAGGTCGTTTGGGGTCCGCAATAATTCTTACTTTGTGCTAAAAATTTATAATGATGTCAATGTTTTCAGGTACTTGATGTCAGCTGTGGTTATGGCTTTACTGTGTTTGCCGTTAAGCCTAAAGGACAACCCTCTATTTTCGGCACTGGGCTGAATGGAGAAGGGCAGCTTGGTGAGAGTACCGAATACAGATCATAATTCTCATGCCAAAGTTAAGGAATTTATTAAACTTGAAAACATTGTTTTTGTCATGCTATAGTGCAGATCAGGATATCATCTCATCCCTGTAGAATAAAAGGAGTTGGTTACAATAACCATGGTAAAAGCTGACACTTATTTTTCTTTTGTGCAATTATTCCTTTGAATGTTAAATATCTCATTATTTATAACAAGTAATCCCGTATAGACAAAGCCTGAGTTTATTTCGAAGTACAAGGTACCGGTACTATGGGAAGAAAAAAAAATCTTACCTGGAAAGTAATGACCATTCAGAATGAGGTTTTATCTATGGAAAAAAAAGGGACAGTACAGAACTGCTTGCAGTAAGACTTTTTAATTATTTATAAAAATATCACTTTTACAAACTGTTGAAAACATTGAGCTTATCTCAAGAGTGACGAGCTTAGGCCTACATGCTTAGTAAGACTACAATTATAAAATAACAAATGAATAAAAAATACAAAACTCTAATTAAGTGTTAGGCGAAAATTAATTTTTAATTTGATATGAAAGTGTCTTTCATGTCTTTTTAATGTGATAACGATTAACGATTTAATGTGATAATGTGAAAATTTTCTGTATACAGAAGCAAGAATTTAATTTATATGCAAATTATATATCTAAGAGATATTTTTTGCAGGCATTCAACGTACCAAGAAAGGCAAGGACATAACTATTGTTCCTGAACCTGTACCCATCGAACTGGGGCTGCAGCAAGGTGATGCTGTAATCAAGGTAGGACTTGCATGCCTATGTTTGTGCTGCTGTAATTGAATGTCGTATTTACCAAGTCTGTTTTTATCTAACTTTGGTTTCATTTGACCGTATATAAATGATTTTGTTAATGGGTATGGAAAATTGTGAAGATTTTGCACCAATTTTCATTTCGTATGGGGAGCTGTTTTTATACTACTAATAAAAAATGACAAAGGTTTTATTTCGAACAACGTCCTGCATGGATACATTTGAGACATGCAAAGGACCTTAAAATTTTCGGAAATGTATGCTTAGAATCAAAAATTTTTCCTTGCTAATATATCTATGTAATGATATCAATAGTTAAACTCGTTTATAACGCTAAGCTATCGTGGACTGATGGCAGGTGTCATGTGGACGGGCGCACACCCTGGCGCTGGCCAAGAGTGGCGCGGTGTACGGCGTGGGGTGCAATAGTTTCGGGCAGTGCGGCCGGCCTGTTGTGCCTGACGAGGACGTATCGTGGCGTCGCTCTGCTATCCAGGGCCTGCCGCCCGATGTCGTGCAAGTGCAGGCTGGTCAGGACACCAGGTGATGGCGCTCTGCCATTCTTTGCAACTCTTGGTGTGAAATTATTTTTTTTGTGAATATCACTCCAAGGAACCTTAAGATGACGAAAATTTGAAACAGAGTTTAAATAAAGCGTACCGTTATTCAACTTGAATGCTAAGTAGAAAGAGAGAAGATATTTGATCATTCACAACAGTGTGATTCAACAACTAAACTCAAATGTTCACTTCCAGAATTCACATCATTTGGTTGCTGTTATTACATGCTGAGGTAAAATGAATGTAATTAATGCAGCTTGCTGATTTAAGTAATCTATTGAACAATTGTCAGAGTTTATTTTTTTATATCACTGTGTTAGTCAGGTCCATTTTTGATCGCATGTGCCTCTCTTTGCTGTACAATTATGTTTACGTTAGCATGATAACTTATACGCTAGCATAAATTTAAATTAAGAAGTATTTCTAGAATGGAACAAACATTTTATTCTAATTCTGTTTGATTGCACAGCTTCATGGTGACTAGCGGTGGAGAAGTGTGGTCGTGTGGTTGGGGCGCCGATGGTCAGCACGGCCGAGGACACTACGGCTCGGAGACGAACGTGGGACTCGTCAAGGGAGAGCTCCAGGACCTGAAAGTAGTCAAAGTGGCTTCCAGGGCTGACTGCGCCTTGGCACTTACTGGTAATTGCGCCTTGCAGAGACATCCTATATGTAATATGTTCCAGCAAAGTATAGGCTGCGTCAGAAAACTGACCGTCTAACAATGTGTCTAGAGCCAAGGTATGAATGTAGGGAGCTTAAATAGGATGCGTCTGAGATGACGGGTCTTCAAACTTTCTTCGCTCTACTTTGAGTCGCGATCATTCAGTAGACTGGAGAGCATCGCGAGTTTGCGTCGAAGCATGTTCTGGTAGGGTTGCTCCATTTTTTCACCTAACATGATTTACAAGCGAGCTGCAATAGTATTCTAGATTATGTGAAATTATTTCAGATTATTCTATTACGGGTACCCTGCATATTCTTGGAGCCAGATTCCTGGCCGAAATTCGGTTCTCTCGCTCTCCTTGATTACCGCAGTCAACTAGCTTTTGGCAGTGTCATTAAATGCTCATTACGAGCTGTTACAATGGCCAATAGCCATTAATGCGGGAAATTTTCAAGAGAGTAAGGCAGTCATTTTTGCAGTCTGCGCCGTTCTGCACGCTAGCATGCGGTAGCTGTGAAACTGTTGATCTCTGCACTGAAACTGTTGATCTGCCTCCGATCTCTGCCGCGTCTACGTCGTGGGGGTACCCTGGCCTGCGCGTCGGCCGGATGCCCGGCTTGCTCGCAGACCATGCCAAACGGCAGAGGCCCCCCCGCCCGGATCGCTACCAGACGGAGGCTCCTTTCTTCATTTTTTTCGACCAAGGGTCGGGGAACCTCGGCCTCCCATTCCCCCTACCCACTTCTATGGCCGCCTATCTTTCCTGAGGCACACTATGCCCTTCTCTCCTCTCACCTTTTCTTCCTTTTCGTCCTTCTCCTCCTGACCCAGGGTATCCATCCCAACCCTGGCCCGGGTCGCCATCCCAACCCTGGCCCGGGTCGCCATCCCAACCCTGGCCCGGGTCGCCATCCCAACCCTGACCCCGCCGACGACCCCTGCTCAGTCTGCTCCCTCCCGGTTACAAAGCGATGTTACTCGTTCTGGTGCTCCACGTGTAACGCCTGGTGCCACAAGCGGTGCTCCGGCCTTCGCTCCATCCACCTACACTCCGCAGACTTGTCCCCCCCGGCCCTCCCCCTTGCTGGCCCCCTCCCACGTCTGCGTCCTCCAGTTCAACTGCAACGGAATTCAATCCAGTGCAGTTGAACTGGCCACTTACCTCGCCGAGAACGATGTGGCGGTTGCTTGTCTCCAAGAGACCAAGCTATCAGCAGCATCCCGCCCCCTTCCTTTCCCGGATACGCGCTGAAGCGCAGGGACCGCCCCGGAGGGCACGGCGGTGGCCTCCTCATCCTGATCCGCCACGATGTCCCGTACACCGGACGAGACATCTCTCCCCTCCTACGCGACGACACCACCATGGAGGCCATGGCAATCTCCACGCCACTTAACGGCTCACCTCTCTGTATCATCAATGTATACATCCCACCGGCCTCCTCCTGCCCCCCGGGATACTCCCCGGAGCTCACGGGCATTATCTCCATCCCGGAAGACTGCCTGATAGTGGGTGACTTTAACGCCCACCATCCCTCCTGGTTTTCCCACACGGAAGACTAGAGAGCCGCAGCGCGAGGAACCGTAGTCGACGACCTCGTCGCTGGTTCTTCTCTGGCCTACCTCAATGAGGACTCCCATGCCCGCCTCCCCTCCCATGGCCCGCCTTCATCTCCGGACCTCGCCATCATCAGCGATCACCTACTCCTCAGCACCTCCTGGGCTCCACACGTCGCCCTCAACTCGGACCACCTGCCCATCCTGATCCAACTCCCTTCCTCTGCTGATTCACCAACCCCCCAGGCCGCCCGCTCCTATGCCAACTTCAAAAAAGCTGACTGGCCCGCCTACACGGCAGCCATCGAAGCGGCTCTCCAGACGGTCCCTCCCCCCACCTCGTGTGGCGGTGAGTCGACCTTGAGGGAAATCTTGATTGCTGCAGCCAGACAGCATATCCCTGCCGGTTTCCGCAAGGATTTCTCCCCCTCGGTCAACCCTGGCACCCGGTTGCTCATTGAGCAACGGGACGACATCAGGGCACGTGATCCAACAGACCCCCGGCTCCCAGATCTCAACTTGGAAATTAGTATTTCCATTCAGGCCCACGCCAAAACAACATGGCAAACACACCTTGCGTCGTGCTGCAGGCGCACGAACCAGTCCAAGCACTGGAATCTCCTACGCTCCCTAGCAGGAAAGCGTAACCGTCCTCCCCCCAATCAGCCAATCCAATTTGGTTTGAATACCCTCTCATCTCAGCGCAAGATCTCATCCACCTTCTGCAAGTTATTCACTTCGCTTGCCTCCCACTCCCAGAGCCCCTCCACCCGCTGCCTCATACGTAGAATCCGGGTGGAACATCCCCTTGACAGGGACTTCTCCCCGTTCACGCCCGACATGGTCAAGCTCGCCGTCGCGGCTGCCAAGAACTCCTCCGCTCGAGGCCCGGACGAGCTCACGGTCCTGCATTTTAAGCACCTCGGACCACGCGGTATCCAATTCCTCACCCGCATTTTTAATATTTCCGTCGCCACAGCCTCTATTCAAGCCATTTGGAAAAATTCAGTAATTATTCCAATTCTCAAACCGGGCAAACCCGGTAACCAGGGCTCTTCATACCGCCCTATCTCCCTCCTCTGCCCTGCAGCCAAGATCCTAGAGCGACTTGTGCTCCCTTACATCTCGGGTTCTCTCACTACCGTCCCCTCGCAGCATGGCTTCAAGCCGGGACACTCCACTGTCACCGCCCTCCTCCCGCTCGCGCATCAGATCACGACGGGCTTTAACTCGCGGCGCCCTCCAGCCCGCACAGTCGCCGCAGCGGTCGACCTCTCGAAGGCATTCGACAGTGTCGACCACCCCCTCCTCCTGAGCATGATCGCGGCCTCGGACCTAAATCACAACCTGGTCCGCTGGCTGTACTGCTACCTCCGAGGCAGGCAGGCATCTTGCCTCTATCTCAGGACCCAATCGCCTTTCAGAGCCATCCACTCAGGCGTTCCCCAGGGCTCGGTGATCTCGCCAGCCCTCTTTAATCACTTCATTTCCGACATCCCAGTGCCTACCCCCAATATTGCCTCATACGCGGACGACCTCACCATCTTCGTGTCGTCCCCGAGACTCGACGCTGCGGAGGCCGAGCTTGCCTCGCTCCTTCGCAACGTCTCAGACTGGTCGGCAGTCAAGAAACTGGCCGTGGCTCCTGGCAAGTCCTCGGTCACGCTCTTCACCCCAGATATGCACCAATCCCGATACAACCCATCTGCCACCATCTGCAACGGCATCATCCCACTGGACAAAACCCCCAAAATCCGAGGCGTCACCTGGGATACACACTTCACTTTCTCCCCTCATGCAAGAGCCATAGCCACGAAAGCGACGGGTTCTCTCCGCATATTAAAAGCCCTTGCTGGCACCAACTGGGCTTCTCCAAGGAGGACATAGTTGTCACCTACCGTGCCATCACGCGCCCAATTCTCAATTACGCGGCCCCCATCTGGTACCCTGTTGCCTCCCGTACAGCAGTTGCCAGCCTGCAGACTATACAGAATACCGCATTGAGACTAGCCACCGGCTGCCTCAAAATGGCCCCGATCTCCCATCTGCACCAGGAGACCGGCGTCCTCCCTTTGCCCGAGCACCTGGACCTGGCCTGCGCCCAGTTCCTCGCCAGCGCCCTCCAGCCCTCCCACGCCGTCTTTCGCATGGTTACTGCCCCTCTGGGTGACCGCCCTATGAAAGCCTCGATACAGTCGAGGTTCGGCCATCTTGTCATACCACTCTTGACAAATGGTAGCCTGCCTGCCGGGACATACGGAGAAGCCAAGCGGTCTCTCCGCAGGGAGATTACCTCCCGCGTGGCGGCGACTGCCGCCATAAACGCGGTCCTTGCTGCCCCGCCACCGCCGATTGCTTCAGTGGAGACCTCACTCTCTCGCCCCTACCGCTCAGCGTTATCCCAGCTCCGCTCGGGATACTGCATCTCCCTGGCGTCCTATTCCGCCAGGATCGGACGCTCCCCTAGCTCCGCCTGCCCGGAGTGCGGGGATCCTCTCCAATCTGTTCAGCACCTCTTCGTCTGCCCCGCCTTCCCCACGTCTCTCAGCGTCTCCTCACTGTGGGACAACCCCGTGGAGGCAGCGGCTTTCCTGGCCACCCTCCCTGCCTTCGCCCACCTCCCTCCTCTTCCGGTTTCGGTCCTCCGCCCATCACCAGAGCCTCCCCCCCGGCGAGCGTGAGGGTCGCGACCAACAACAACAACAAACTGTTTGACCTTACTGAGCGGCGAATTTTTAACAAAAAATTCAATATTGTCCGCACCAACTGGCTGCCGCCGAAGAGTTGATCGAGCAAGAAGTTGGGCCTCCAAACTGTATGTGAAGCTCTCCATGAAATCCATGCCATGACGCGATAACGTTCTACAACAATGAGGCTAACCTCCGCCTAAACAGCTGTGCCAGCAAACAGAACTTGCACAGTTGAGGTGCTTGAATGAATGTACATTGTGGATGGGTCGTTCTAAAAGATGGAGTCACAGCCCATACAGTGCGGACCTCCATGGAATTGTGATGGAAACCCTCCCTCATATTTTTCAGGAGGCTTTTGACTGGTACGAACTCAAGGTTTGGTTCCATGCGACAAATTTCCAATGGCTAAAATGACGATAATCCACAACATAAAGCTAACTTAAAGACAAGCATTTGGACCGCTATCGCTTGAACACCAGCTAACATGTACAGTGTTGTCATATATGATAAGGCCATGTTGTCCTTTTTCCGATTCGTAACCGCCCGACCACCTAGCCGATTTCAAATAGAATTTTTACAGCTACTTGCGGATTTTGAACCGCCAACTCTCTCCATCATTGGGATCTGAACCAATCAGTCACCCTGAGCCACGACATTCTCCGCTAACTGGCGTGCGACTTCAGAAATGGACTTGATCAATGCTCAACCAAGGATAGATTTAATATTGATACTAAATAGATTTAATTTTTAAAACTATATATAAAAAATTATCAGGTGACCTGTAAGGGCAAACTTGCATTGCACATGCCATATATTTTTTTCTACTAAGCCCTCAATAACTAAGTTGTGACTCACCCTGTACATTAGTTTCATTTGTTTTAAGGGAATCCACCTTTTTGTTTATTGAGAAAATGAATTAATATCTCTCAAATCTTTCCAAATTTAAGAAAAATTCTTCAGAATGAATTATTGCGTGTATTCTTTTTTTATTATGATATGTGTAATATTGATGTAACAATAATAATTTTGATGTGTCCATCTCAAAACATTATGTATGATATGGGTGCAGGATGAAAAGTATTTTTTTTTAATATTCACTTGACATTTTTAGCAATTTTATATTAATTCTTATGTCTGACATCTCTTGTTTTTTCAAGTGTCACACATTTGGAATAAATTGAAATTTTGTACATATGAGTACTACTTGTAATGTGGTTTTACAGAGAGCGGCTGCGTATTGGGCTGGTGACGACGACTACGGACATAACGTTTATTTTAAACTGTGTTAAGGTTATGGTGTATGATGCACTGCGTTATGGTATGGTGCTGTGGTGTTACAGAGAGCGGTGACGTGTTGGGCTGGGGTAACAACGAGTACGGTCAGCTGTTGACTGCTGCTGATGAGCCTCAGCTGCACACGCCGCGTCGTCTCCCCCTGCCGCCCACCGTGGGACGTATCGTTGACGTTGCCGCATCTGGGTCTGCTTGTTTTGTTCTCAACGGTGCGTCTCATTATTACGTTGGATATTTATATGATTTCAAAGAAGTTACATGAAATTGCTAGAAAATTCAATTTGAACGTTCATAGCATATAAATAGTAATAAATAAATATTTTTTCTCTTCTTTTTCGGAAATTTATATCTTGATCGGCTAATTAGGTTTAAGACAGATACAAGTCTCCCGGCATTTTATGTATATGGTTATCTTGGTTTGTCAGCAGATGGTTAACAAAATAAAAAAGTGAACGATACACACAGGAAGATTTAAACAACCATTGTTTGTAGGAAAATACCCATTAATTATGAAGTACTTCACCTGGCATTCTAAGGAGAGTAAAGGATGCGGTCTTGATCCAGATCGGGCTGGCTCGGCTCCCACGTTAAGATCTTGGTAGCGAATATATCTGCATGTCAATTATTCCTCTGAGCCGTGAATCTTACTGTGGTATTTTCATTGAGACTTCTTAAGTTCTTCGACTGTATACTATCTATTAATACTGCATGCTACAGATAAGGGAGATGTATACAGTTGGGGTTTTGGCCCTCTTGGCCGAGGCCCTGAGAACATCCAGTGCAGCTCACCACAACTCATCCCGCCTCCTTTGTTCGGTCGAAACGAGTTCACTCCTGACGTCAAGGCGAGTTGTGGAGATGAGGTGTGAAGCAATTAATATCATATGGATTTTTGAAGCCAGCTAGTGCCCAGATTTTGAGTCTACTCTCCTCATTGTTCTCTCTTGTGTTTTGTGACCTGGAAACATTTGTGTTTACTTCTAAAAGACTGAAAATGTATTTTGGTTTCTTATGGTGACCAAATGACCGTCAAAATGACGCCAATTTGCTGGGACAAGAAATGTTGAATGTGAAATATTGTTGAATCTTTCTTCTCACTGAAATTTTTTGTTAACTAATGTTTAAGCTTTCTTGAATTTTTTTGAAAATATGATAAAATGAGCGGTAACATCGTTTTCAATGAACAAGAACTACAATATTTTCGTTCACCACTATTGAAGTGAAAAATAGTTTAGTTTTTGTTCAATCAGCTTGAGTTGATGACAATCTAGGGTGCACTAGATGGAAAGTTTGATCATTTGCAGGTGGTGTCGGTGGTGTGTGGGGTGCACATGGTGACGTGCATCACAAACAACGGCAACCTATACTCCTGGGGGCGCAATATCGGCGGCAACCTCGGCTTAGGTCACCGCCACGAACAGTCTTTCCCAGTGCAGGTCAGACGTGATTCTTCATTGCTTTTTTTACTCTTGAAATTATCCACAAAGATTTTCAAAATAATATAACTTGTGCCTTTTTATTTGTCTGAAACTTGAACCATGTAATTTAAGAGTTGAGCGTAATGCTCCATAGATGAGAAAAGTCATTTCAGTCGGATCTTCCAGAGGGTGTCGTACTGTAGGTCCTTAAAATGCCTTTGCGCTTTAAAGTCCGACACAAATTATTTTCATGATCCAGCTCGCACAACTTATAGTAATAACTACAGGGCTTAGTTGGGATGCGATGGACAAATTTTTTGTCCATCATTTGCCTTTAGGTAGAAGGTGCGTGCCTTGCGATACGAACTGCTATATTACTTGGCCCAATAGTACTCGCAGAAGGGGACCAGTGGAAGTGTGAATTGAGTATTATTAGGAAATGAGCGCATCAGATGAAGCAGAGAGTGCAATAAACATTGTCCTCAGTAAAGAACGAATTCAGTAAAGAGGTGAATGCAGCCATAACAAGAAATGTGTGTTCGTTTACTCACGGGTGCGGAGTAATCTACTGCTTCCGTTGGTTAGATAAAGTTTCGTTTCCCTGCGGTTGGAAAACCTGATCCCAGGCCACGTTTTTCAGAACAGTGTTTGATAAAAACTTCAAATTATTGGTCAATTAGTTGATAAATAATTGTTTATTGAAATTAGGTAACTATTCCATCTGTGAAATTTGCTATAAAACGGTAAGAAAGCAAAATGTCTAATGATCGCTGCAGCATCATCACTATTTTTTTTGCGGTACAGAGATGGGCTGAAATCATCGTGGTGTGTTTACACTTTGCAAAAGCCTTGAATGAAGTTAATCGCGAAGTACTCTTCAGAAAACTGTGAGTACTGAGCCTGGATGATATTTGTTTGCCATGGATTCATAACTTCCTAACAATGTCCAAGCTGTCGTGGTTGGAGGCTTGACATCAAACAAAGCAAGAGGCGAGGAGGTAGACGTGGAGTGCCGCAGTGGACGGTGTTTGGCATAACCCTCTTCCTCAGCCGAAGTACATAATAGTGACCCACGCACTATATTCATCGTTATTTACGGACGACACGAGGATGCTGGTGACAGTACGGGTAGGCTAGTCTGCAAAAGGTTACACAAAAATACCCGTCCGCAATTTACGACTGGGCCTAATTGAACAGCGGGCAATTCAACGGGACTGAATTTGAAGTACTGAGATACAGTATTTGTGTGGAAGTCAGGATGGAGCACTGCTATCTGGCATCGGACGGCACAGTAATTGGGAAGCAACGCGTTCGCTACCTCGGAGTATCGGGCATTACATCGGTGACCATTTACCGATGTGAGCAAAATCAATTTTCACACTTTTCAAAGCTCTTATTCTACTGCTGCCAGCTGGGAACCCTGTTCAATGAGAGCTTCGTGCAACAATTGGAAGCGACCCAGAATACCTTGACGAGCAAGATAAGTGGAAAGATCGAGTTGGACTACTGGCAAAGCTAAAGTATCGTCTTCACTTACTGGAGAGGAGACGCCAGTATGTCACGTTATTCTGCACACGTTGGAAAATAATAACCGGTCCAGACTCAAAGTTTGTGAACGAGACCGTGAGCATGATGATGGATCACAATGTGTGAATGAGACTAAATATTACAATGCCCTTATTGTACATACATGCGGCGGTCTGATCGCTGTACACATTTTGTGTGGGAAGAATCCTTTTTCGTAGTGTGGCAGATGTTATTGAAACTTTCCCGATGAAGTTGAGAGGGTGAAGGAAGTTCATCTTGTAGAACTTCAAAAGACAGCTAACTGAGCACAATCCTTGATCGTCCGCCTCTAGCTCAAAACAATCGACTAGAAACAAGCATCAGCATCGTACATCAGCTTGCCCAACTAAGCGCATATGAGCATTACTTTTGTCTCACTGATACCCAGGGATTTGGTGGCGAGAACGACTTGGGTGCCGATGATTGGGGGGAGGGGGGAGGGCGTCGGAGACGCTGGTGGAGCTCGTGCGCGTAGCTTTACTGAAGATTTTTTTTTGTACAAGAACAATCTTTAGGGAAAGGATTGTCTTTTCTGAAGACAATCTTCGACAAGTGGGCATCACGAACCATGCCCAAGTTTCCGTCTGAGCGATACACCTTCTATTGCTGAACAACCTAGAAATATTTCCTTATCACTGCAGGTGTGAGAAATATTCTTACGCTGCAGGTGTGAGAAATAATATTTCATTCTCACTGCAGGTGTGCATGCTGGGTCGTGTGCTGCAAGCAAGCTGTGGTGTTGATCACTCTGCTGCACTCGCCCGCACGCTCTGAAGCAGCGGACAACCGCGGGCCCAATAGTTGGGGACTGCCATAAAGGAACGCTACAGTGTGACACAAACGAGTGTCAGGCCGACTGCGTTGTTGATTCGGCTTTGAGAAGTGATCGTCGAATAGGAATTTCTAGGAAATCTGTTATGCAGAAGAAGCATAATGAATATACTTCCAATTGTTAATTTTTTATTAATTTGTGACATATGGTATCGTTTCATTGGAGGATATGTGAAGGCCAAAAAACTTTTCGATGTTAATTAACGTTTTTGTTGACGCACGTAGTACGGTATTTGCTCCCATATTTTTTTAAACGAATTTTAGGCAAGAAATCTCCATGAGGAGACAAAAACATAACTGCCACAATTTAACCAATATATGCGAATCTCCTCCTGTTTGTACAAAGAATGTTTATTATTACCCTTTCGAACCGATTGATGCTTTGCCTCAATCGACAATTATATAAAATTATTCCATTTATAGCACATTTTCTCATGTATGGAAAAAAAGGCGCTATTGTGCTCGTCATGTCCGTCAATGTAGGTCGACGAGAAAATGCGCTCTCTGTCACTCACTGCAGTGAGTACTGAGTTATATTTTTTTTCATTGTGCTGGCTGCTGTCAAGAGAAAAAGCCTGATAAATTCGCAAGATGGTGTGTTGCTGTTCATGCTTGGCTTCCGTGTTTGCGAAATTTTATTAAATTAATAAAAATGATTGGCAATAATTCCTTGGACGAATGATTCAAGTTGAATGATGAAATATTGGCTTCATTTATGGTAGAACCATCGGCATGTATATATGTTGCTGCTGCCTCATTTGCCTCGATTTAGACTTAGCCAGTATTAAAATTACGGATGTGGGCGATTATTTATAGTCTCATGCGTTTGCAAATCGGCCAGTAAAGTTGTATTTAATTTTGAAAATTCCTTCTTGTCGAACGCACTAGCAGTACTCTTACCTTGTATTCAGTAGTGCGGATCGAATAATTAAACAATGTAAGCTTCGTTCGCAGTTTTTGAAACTTTATAAAATTGGCGTCTCTCGTAGTTTACGCCCTTAAATGTTCGGTTATTGTATTTTATATACGAGATGATCTGCAACTCTCACTTTTCCTGTTATTGAGATTCCAACAAATAGATTCGTTAACCTGTTCCCTGTCGTTTCTTCCTACAGGGGATGACCATCAGTTTCCCTAATTGTCTTCGCATTAATCGTTAGCAAGTGTGTTTTTAGGGATATTCGACCTGTGTATACTCTATTGAATGACGTTTAATTATGACCATTAAACTAAATATTAGATGAACGCAATAATTCCATGTTTTTTTATTTTCTATTCTATGTAAATACGTTTCGGGCAAATCGAACTAATTTCACTCGAAATATATTTCAGATGCGAAATCCATTAATGCTCAAATGGCCACTCAAGACATGTGTCTGGGTTCGTCAGAAGTCCTATGGGATTTTGCGTTCCTAAGAGCTTTGTTCCTGATCCTTCGCAGAGCTCGTTCTGTATGACGGCGGGTCTCAGTTGTTTTGTAGGCAGGGCAGTTGAGGGGTTGTCGTTATATATGCTGGATCCCTTGCATCTCCCTCGTTCATGCGGGCGACGTCCCGTGTAAGCGACTTTTTTTCGACTGTCTTCGTTGCTTCCGCCATTCACCAGCTCCTATTGTCTGCACAAGATGCTAATGCGGGTTCATTCTTAACGATTTCAGCGAACAAGCCATTTGAGACCTACCGCCTTTTTCGTGTGATGAGCTAAGAATTTTCATTAAATAATGCTTTTTAATTTGCTGGGAATGTTTATTTTCGACTTCCGGTGCAAACTAGCGGAGGTGTTAGTAAACTTTTCCTTCTACTTAATACCTTGACAGTCGTATTGTCTCTCTTTCCTTCTCATACTGATTGAATTTAAGTTTGTGTTTATATCTAAAACCTTGATTGCGGTAACATCGAGATTTCTGTATCGTGAAACTTTTGCTTCTTTTCAGAAAAATTTTATCAATCGTTAAAAACATTGAAGAGTGCAATAAGGTAGTAAAATAAGTGATTTAGTGCGCCTAGGAGCGCCATTCAGCATGAGTCCCACGCCAGAGCCTGACCACTCCGGCAACCTCTCCGACGAAGAGATGCCTCAGCAGCCGCCGATCTTCCTCTCCTCCTCGAGTGACGAAGAGCAAGAGGAACCAAACCCTGACTACCCTGCAGGGTACATGCCCATTGGTCACCACATTGAGGTGCAGGTGCGACTTTATTGCCACTTGTTGTTGCTGTTTCAATGAACTTTGTCAAACTTCACTACTTGGAATTTCAGTAGCCACAATCTTATAGAGACTCATAGGCTGAATTTTGTAAAGATCACATAAAATATGAATAAATTTATTTAGAATAACAAATTACGGTACCGTATTAGCTGTCCTCTAAATTACGGTCGAGGATGATCTCTCCTCACATCCGCACCGCTTTCGGATTAATATCAGCGTAACTATAAGTTTACAAAATGTTAACTCTTTATCGTAATCCTGATGAAAGCAAACTAGATGTGTTGCTGAGAATAGCCTTTACTAAACTTTGACTCCAGATAACTTCCCATGATTTAATTATAATTAAGATCCGTTTTCAGTGGGCGTCAGATACAGAGGAAGAAGACTGGGATGCCGCTTCGGCGCCAGTGCAGGCGCCAGTTCTGCCTTCACCTTCTGAGGCAGGTGAGAGTTTCACGTGAAATGTTTTGCGTGTGACTTTTGTGTTCCAAATTCAAGTGGAAGCATTGCTGAGAAATATATCGCCAACACAGCAAAGATAAAATTAATGTTGCTGCGATTCCATATTTTTCTTTAGATTTGATAACAAATTTTCCTCCACAAGTCGTATTATAGAAACAATTTTTGTCGAAATTTACCTGATGGTCTGAGGCATGACAAATAACTGAACAATGCCCTGGACCATGACGCTTAATGAACTCTGTAAAAACAGAAGTACATCGTTTACTTCCGCTTGCAACTTATGAGTTTTTAGCACGTACGAAAAGCTCGTACCGGGGATTTTATAATACCATTTCTCTTAATATGCTTAAATATTACGTATGCTTTATCCGATTATGACCGGTCGCCGCGTTGAAAGAACAAGTTCGTAAATTTTTCACAGCCTATCGATTCTAGGCCCTTACTTGGTGATCATATTCTGGTATCAATTCGGATGTTCGCTCTAATTATTAGCTTAGTCCGTTTAAAAATGCAGAAGAAGAGGAGATCGACTACAGCAGCTTAGCTGGCCTGATGGGGGCGCTGCAGGCGCACGGCCCCACTGTCGTCACGGACACTCACGGCCTCGAGGACGTTTATGCCAACGAAGAATCTCCTCCCTTGGATGTCAATCGCATAGCGGTGACTATACTAGAATAAATTAATAATTTTACTTAAAAATAACAGCTTAACCCTGCGTTCCGAATCCCGTCATCTCTAATCTAGTTGGTAATTATGAAACAAAAGCACTGTATGTAATTGAAGAAACTCCATTCAAACCCACATTTAGCACGGAACTCCCATTCAAGTTCAGCGTTTTGAAATTTAAGGCAAGCGGGAACTTTTATTTTCAAGTAGAATTTGCATTGACTAAATTTAAAATCAGATTTTGATTATAAATCTAACTCAGAATTCCACTACTAAAAAAAGGATCATAATAATTCTCAAATAATAACCCGACATGATACGTATCGCGGATACGTGCTTGGACTGCCCCTATACATTTACTGTGCCAGGCATCAGAAACAGACTTTAACAAATATTTATCTAACACGACATATACGCGAGTAGCAGTGGTGACGATCAACAATGAATCTGGTAGTAAAATGTAGATAACCAGTACGATATCTGAATAAAAGCATGTTTATTCAGAGCATTATTTTTACTTCATCTGTGAGGGGTCTTCGTAAATGCTGCATATAACATAACATAGTGCTCTTGGCGTTGATCGCTGAAGCGTAGGCCTCATGTGGCCTGTCGCCGATTTTTTTCCTTTTCGTGCCTTGTTCACAGATCTAAAATCGTGTCATTTGACAGGATCTTTTCACGACTGACGAAAGTTTGAAATAGCTACTCGACTTCCACCGGGTTCGATATGGTGCAAGGAATTTCAAATCTGAACATATATTTTTCCATAGCTTTATCTAGTCTGTTCTTGAACGCGTTCATACTTGGAGCGCCAACGATGTCATCGGGGAGGCTGTTCCGCATGTCGGTGATTCGAAGCGAGAAGAAATATATAGGAGACTAGGAAGCTAAGATTCATGAGTTGCTGACTGAATTGATAGAAGGCGCTGAGTTAGCATCATCAAGGACGTGAGAGCGAGATGGCGTTAATCGCTAATCCGTTTAGGATTAATAATAAATATCGGCAAAATTGTTAGTACTGATTGTTTCTCAACGATTGTATGGTCCTGTTTCATTATAAAATGTTAACGAAGATTAAAAACACCTATCTTTTTTACTTTCTCTTAATTTCAAAGAGTGATCTTGATTTCAGAAGTGGTGCTTGAAATTTTTGCCAGGGCGAAATAGTTAACAAGGTTATTGGTTTAGAAGTGCTAGTTCCGTCGTCAACGGAGGCGTTTTCTTCAAAAAAGGCTGCTACTAATAAATTGAAATTGGTTTCATATTAACAACCTTCAATTATTACCAAAGACATAGGTATTTTCAAGTACATATTTTTCAATCAGAACCTCCAACTAAAAGTCTGGAAGTCAGTTAGTTAGTTTAGTGGCTAATGTTTACTAGCGATTCAGCTAAAAAAGTCTGGAAAATTCTTCCAAATTTCTGCACTAAGAGAAGTTAAACTCGTGCTAGATCTGCATCTATTTTTTCAATATTTACGACGCACATTGTGTGCATCAATTTATTCAGCCAGCGAATATTGTTACTCTATTATTTCATGTGCAGAGTAGTCGCGTCGCCTCGTTGGCCATGGCAGCTGCGGTACCCTCCGCCTTCAACAGCGAGCCGCTGCCCAAGGAGCAAGAAGACGCCATCTTGAGTGCAATGAAGGGTTTTTCTCTGCCGGCATCGGCGATTCCTCCTTGGGCAGCTCAGGTACCTGATGATCGTCTGACTTCTATCATCAGAAATAAGCTAAGCGGGAACGCAGAATCTCGAAACTGCGACAGTTCACTTAATTCTTAACATTTCCTGGGAAAATCCTATGAGTAAACTTTGAACCCAAGAAATGTCTTTTAGAATTCCGTTTCTTCAACTCTAGGAAAGTTGGCAGAAGCAGATTCTTAAACGATGTACTATCCTTTGCATGGACAGCGATACAGCTATTAGCGGCCGTTGAAGAACATAGTATATTAGTTACAAGTAACGGAATTATATAGATTCAAGAACTCTGTATTTGAAAGTTTTTATCCATCTTTGCCAGAATTACATTCCTTTCCTATTTTACCCTCGTTTCTCGTGATCCCATAGGCCGTGAAGTCTATAAATTAGAACTGTTGCGGGACAAGCGGTGGCAGTTGCAAGAGCTAGCACATCATTAAACTACTTCAGTCTAAACTACGTATCGAGAGTCTGCTATACATTAATGGTTTCTCAATCGTAATCGTTATAATCAGATAACTTTGTACAGTAGTCACTTCTCACTTATTTAGCGGGCAACTTCTAGTCACTCATTATTCATTGGGTCTCTTGACGTTGCACGACGAGAACAGAAACGCAATAATCGCAGCATATATCCTTACGACAATACAGGAATCCTACAACATTTATGTTCATTAGCTTGTTGTATCAAGAGAGCACTTTAGCAACAGAAATATTAAAACTAATAATCGGCCCACCAACAAAACCCATTCTTAACTCAGCCCACGGCTGAAAATGAAAGAAAAATCGTTGCCTGTTATGTTACAACACTAATATGCACTGAATACAATTACGATGTTATTGACGAGATTTTCTCATTACTACGTAAACAACAGTTTATAGGGCGGTACACAACACAGAAGTTATTTCAAAGACAGCAGTAATGATACGAAGCATAATACAACACTTGGGCCAACTTGCTAGCGACAGTATTAAGAGGTGCACTGGCAGAATGCATCCCTGTAAATGGCCTTCATGATTCACTACACAATATAAATCTCTGCACTAAGCGGACGCTATATTAATTAAAGAATTTCATTATAATTACTTTAGTACCTATTCCAAAGTAGGGTAGCGGAAAAGAAACCGAATGTATCCCTCAAAAGACAAACTTAAGTAAAGAAGTCCAACAGGTGAACAGCAGAAAAAGACATCTTGCACATGTGTATAATAAATTGTTTTGCAAGATGCATGCCAACGCAATTTTTGGGCTGTGAACGAACAGGTGCGAAAAATGTAGCATTTAACTTAACTCGGTTGCATTGGTCGACATCTGCCTCCATTGATGAACTCGGAACGAGAATTGCTAATTAGAGAAAGTAAATCACTGCATAACTTAACCATTCGTCAAGAACATCAGCCGTGATCAACAAAAAAATGGACTTGAAGTAGCTTAGCAAAAAATTGTCAGCATAGCTACTTATTGAACATCCATGAATAACGAAAGACTAATTTTACTATCATAAATGATTGAACAGATTTATTCTATAGCACTGAAACAGGGTCTGATAAAGAAATTCGCACTCGAAAAGAGATATGAATATTATGCTAAAATTCTTCAGCACTTGCATATTTAATATTCGAGTGTTCATTTCTGCTACATTATTATGTTTTTCATCGTGAGAACAAATGGAAGCAAACTTCTGCACAATTCTTACAATGCGCCCTTGACCATCACAGACTACACGTGCAGTCCACAACAGAATGATCCCACTTCTTCACGGCGCCATAAATCTAACGCGTTGCGATTTAACGATCTGTCGAATTCTGGACTTAAGGCTTGAACCAGGTCGCAACAACAATTGAGAAGAAATAGAATATTTGGCGCTTAATTTTATCGGTATAACCGGGTTCTGGTCCTCAGTCAGACTCACGAATGTCCTTATGGTCAACGAACTACAAATTAAGGCTTTTATTAATTCGTACTTCGTCACCACAGTTGGAGAACTGCACTTCGTCACCATAGGAGAAATGTAAATTTGAAAGCTATGTGTCAATGACAAATGTAAACATTGAACTAAAATAAAAAACTTGAGAGTGGAAAAAGCAACTTTCAAAAGAGCGATTCGTAGCCCTCATGCAGAACATAAGATTGATACGAGAAAGGCTTTCAACGAAATCGCATAGCTCTACTCCAGAAGCGTCAAAGTTAAGGTTGCTAACATTCAAACGAGCACTAAGTAACAGTGCTCATCATTCATTATCTTCACAGCGCATGCCGCAAAGCTTGGTCACATGGCATGATCGTTCATTTTACTAGCTACCAAAAGCACCAGCCTCTCATTTCACTACGTTATTGATGACAAGTAGCTTCCTATTGTTATCAAATACCCAAAATTAGACTACCCGCTGATAAGCCACATAAAAAAATAGAAACGGTTAACGGTTTTGTCTACTAACAATGTAGTAACTCAAGAGATCAGCAAATATGAAATGCACGATTGTTTGGAAATAGTTACGATCTTGATGATCCACCTGCGTCGCTGGAAGAGATAAGACAGAGGGACAACAAATATAGTTTTCGTTGAACGTGTTATTCATGAGCTTTCATCGCTCTAAAAAAAAAGCATACAACACAAAAGAATAAAAAAAATGTATAAGAGAAATGAAATGTGCAACCTGCAGAACGATTTGAAGGAGACATTAGAGTATTCTTTAAATATGTACAGAAATTAGGTAAGAAATAATTTAGTAAGACACTACACTAAGTGCTAGTATTGAACACCAGTGAAGGCCGCATTACACGCCCGATGCGTCCATGAGGCGCTGCAGTGTTCGGTCGAGCTCAGCAATCTGAGGCGAGTCAGGCGAGACTGAAGACAATAAGCGGCGCCGCTCCTTGGTGAGGCGGGTGATCTCGTCGAAAATGTCGGCGTCATATTTATAGGGCACTGAAGTATTGTTGCCATCACGCCTGCTATCAGGAAGTACCTGTGCGCTACTGCCTTCGCCAGAGCTCCCGGCAATGGTGGTGCTCCTTACGCCACAGGAAGACGACATACCCGATTCCGTGGCCCTATAAATACCAAATATTAACAGGAGATATTTTTGTCTGAACAGTTTCCTAATCACGAGCTCCAGCAGACGCAATCGTGCAATAATAAAAAATCTAATCCTAATTAATTACAAAATGTAAGAAATAATAAGAATAAAATATCAGCAAAGGTTCATCGTGAAATATTAGTACCGTCAGAGGGCTCGCAGCATACATGGTAACAAGGGTCTTGTTAAAATCGTAGCATAGGTTACTAATTATTCACGTCGCCTCAGTGTTCATTAAAAATTTAGTTCATGGATCACAAATTATTGCCTTTTAAAATCCAGAACCAGCTTAATGATAATTTATGAACTATCGCATTTTCTTACCGCATTCATACATCAGCCACAAGATCAGGAAGATCAACTGTGAGTTGAATAAGCTCAGGGAGAACCTAACAGCAAGGCTGACAGGACACAAATAACTTCCCAACTAACTAAACAACTACGTAGACCAAATCTCACACTACCCGATCCCTTCTTCCCCAAGTCTCCACTATACTACTCAAATTTATTTTGCACTCTCTCATAGTCACAGTTCCTCCTTTCGCCAAACCTGCAATGAATACAATTTACTTCACTTTAGTACCCTCAATAACCTAAATCATCTCAATTATTAAACGTTTTTTCTCACATGCCTTTCATTCCACCGTCACGTATTCAATTTACTGCACATGTATAAAAAAAACATCCTCTCTTCCCTTAGTCATGTATGTAGGAGGAATTAACTCTAGGCATCGCTGCTCTATCGCCAAACAGCAAGTCCCTGCCTCCAATACCAATAGTATATAACACTGGCAGCAATATTGGTCACTAGGGATGGGAATAGAAGGGAAGGACACTGTGTTAAACATTTTTTGGCGTTACATGTTTGCGGCACACGATAGGCAACAGCTGTGCATAACCATCGCCATGTGCAGTGTCTCAAACAATGCCCCAAGTACTTCTTACCTATGCGGATTACAGGGTCCAATGATATGATATTCTTGAGGAGTTCAGCAAGCGCTGCTCAAGGCATTATAACTCACCATCTGCGGTGCGTGCTAGCCATGCCTCTTAGCCACTGTCTCTTGTAAAACTCTTTGCTGCTGCTGCTGCCACCGCCGCTATTTCTGTCTTCCTCCTAAGGACGAGATGAATGTCAACATCCCTCATAATTCAATACAAAATCAGCAAAAAAATAGCTACCAGCCAACATTTTCTCATTAGAACAATTTTCAGGACTTACGTAGGAAATTGTACAAGAATACACATTTACAAGTGGTTAACCCATCAAATATTCAAGAAAAAAATAGAACGTAAATGATCTACATGAAAAACAAACACAATTTTGAGTTGCAGTAACTGAGCAAGAAGCCAAAGAAATTTTCTTAGAAGAGGTGACATTTCCTAATAACACATTTCCTTAGATTCCTAAAGCCATTTCCTTAGGTTCAGTGCACTATGTACACTGAAGAATGAGAAAAAAAAAAACACACCCTGCCAGAAGTGATGGACCTCAATCTGTCTGCGGTGCGAGGCTCGAAGCTTCTCCTATTGCTGCACACTTGTTGTAGCTGAGAGCTCAGTGATGCTTGTTGCTCAAGGACATGTTGCTGCAACTCTAATAACTGCAACCAAAAAAAAATGATAAAAGAATCCAAGTTTAAATGGAATTTCGACAATTTACGTTCAAAAAATTTTTGTAATAAAAAATGATTATCTGAGGAGTTTAACTAAATTTATTAGCAGAATTAATTAGCCTAGAGCAGGAGAAATTATGTCAGAAATGTCTAGTTATAATATGATTAAGGTAGTGCCACAAGGCAGTATGACAAACACACCTTTGAAAGACTAACAATAACGTGGAAACATAAAGTAAGAACGAAATACTGCATACATAAATCTATCTTTGTCAGGATCTTGTTCATGGCAACAATGTTTATGTTTCCGCCCTATGCACAGGCACCATCACAGCAAAGTAGCTACTAAGTCGGAAGTATTTCACGTAACGCAACACTATTAATAATAGCACAATAGTCCTTCGTGTGATGGTTGATCCATACTGATCTCTAAAATTTTATGGCCTCCTCACAGCAATCCGTTTTAATTATTAATGCCAAGACAGGATAATAATATCCTTCAACTGAGGTCTCATCCAGCACTGGTTGTTGACGGCAACTGCAATAGGACATGCAAAACTGCACAAGCAATTGAAAGAAAAATAATTTTCACTTTAAATCCTTTAAAAAAGCACTCAGTGAATATAGGAATTATTTAAGGGAGTATCAGCTTCGATGACCAAGTAGCAGATTAGGACAATTCACAGACCTTATCTTCCCGGCGCCGTACGTCAGCTTCACGTTCTCTGAGGCGTCGCCACTGGTCCTCGAGCTCTGCTCTCTCCTCCTCAACCTCCTGCAGCTGCTCGAACAGCATCTCCTCCATACCTGCCACATGCTGCTTCCACTCTTTGCTTAAGGCCTCTTGCAGCTTCTTATCACGCAGCACCACCTACAATACACACAACAATATAACGTCCATTATTTACAAGAAAATTTGTAGAAAATGCTACTCGCTTCACAAATCTTGCACAGGCACACACTCGAAAATTTTCTCTCAGATATAAGATGGCATTAAATTGCACATAATTAAACTCGATTGATATACATGCAACCATTGATTTTAAATTGCATCAAGAACCTTAGAAACAGCTGAATTTAAATTTTTCAATTAAATTATTGTCTTCCCCTGACCATATATAATAACTATTGAGTAATACCTGTTTATAATACATATTTTTCTGAGCTTTTGTCCATTGATGCATATCTTCCTTAGCTGCTGCCTCCAACTCGGATCTTTCCCCAACAGGATGTTCTTCAGAATAAATTTCTTTCTCTCCACCATTTTCAGTAAGTTTTCGCTTCTTCATTGGAGGTTTAAGTTGATCTCTTATGAGTTGCCTTGATGCACTCATAGCAAGGCTGTTGTCCTTAATGTCCGATGCTTCAAAGCTGAGGTAGTTGCTGCTGGCGCTATTGTCTCGTGCTCGCTTTTTCCCAGAGTTGAGCGCTGCATAATCAATTGACACTTCACTGAGATGACTTAGGACACGTTCTACCTTTTTTCCATTTTCATCATGAACACTTGCAGATGTACTTCTGTTAACATTACTCTCAGATGCGCTAGGTAGTGTGGTGCATTCTAGCTCCACCAACACACCCACCACAGCACCACCTGAAGAACTAGACCCAGCAATGTTGCCTTTGAGAGGAACTAGCTCATATGAGCCCTCTACCTTAGTTTTTTCCCCAGCTGTAGTAGGAACAAGTGTAGACAAATCCACTGAACTTGCAGCCAGTTCTAGCTCACCAATGCAAAGCATAACAGAGAGGATGCAGTGTTGCTGTAAATACTGTGCAAGGTTGGTTGTAGTAGCCAATACTCGGGCTTGAGCACGCTCACCCGGGAACTCGCATTCACTCAGGTTGGTGATGGGGTCAGTGTGCACAGGACAGCCAAGTAATGAATATTGGAAATGTGGTCCTTCTTTGCATGATCGAAGCAGGGAACCAGGGATGATCTGTTGAGAATAAATTGAGGATATGAATTGAATTTTGACATTGACTTCTGCTATCTGGTAGTATCAAGTATTTAATTTAATAGCATTTTATTAAAAGAAGATTCAACTGTGGCACAAAAATTTTAAGCGCATATTACTAATGTCTATAAATAGAATTTATCATAGCACAGATGTAAAAATAATAAAATTATGACATTTTCATACTTCAGAATGTATATACCTACACACTTGTTTGTATTTTAGAATCATTCTGAAATTAATAAAAAAATTGTTCAAATAAAGTGCACATCTTAAGCAGGAATGAACAATACTGTGCATCAATCATCATAGACAGTGAAAACACAGTAAATGTATCTCATGCATGTCACTGTAACTCACCTTACTGAGTTGCTTGGCATATACTATTGTTATTGAGAGAAGATGCATAGAGAGTTCAGGGTGATCTCTGCAGGAACCAATCTCAAAGTAGCCTTTAGTTTCATTCAGCTGAGCAATAATTGGAGGTTGATTGATTTCAGAACGATCCACTACAGCTGCTAATCTTTCAGCAGCCATACTTGGTGAAGTTGTGCACTTGTCTTGAACAGCAGAAGAATGAGTCATGTGTGATTTGGCAGACTCAACAGGAGGTTCAGGCACTGACTGAAACCCTTCTTTGACTGATGATTTGCAGGAAACTTCAGCATTATTGATATTCACTGAGCCAGAAATTTTTGAAACCCTTCTTGCTTCAGTACTGTTAGGTACATTATCATTAAATTTTCTTTTATGGTGCTGAGGGGAATCAGGCACATGAAACCTGGAATGGCTTTCAGTTGGATAAAGGTCTCTATTGACTTCTTTGCTTTTCATTTCTTCATTTTTCATTTGATTCCACTCAGCAAGTTCTTGCCAACCTTCTTCTTCATCATTCAAATCTTCCATGTCATCTTTATTGCATTGGTCAGATTCAATAACTGGACTTTTACGCTTTATCAAACTAATTTCTTGATTATATCTGACTTTTTTCATGATTGATTTGTGGTCTCTTCCCAAAAAATTATGAGTGTCACCATTATATAAAGATGAATTTTTTTCATTTGGAGTTGCTCTCACCTGGTTTGCAGGAACATTTGACTGACCTGTTTCTATTGAGTGTTCTACAAGAGAAGTTGCTTCCTGAGCACTTGGAGACTTGCCAGAGCTGGAGTGATCTGAGCCATAGTGACCATCCATTTGATCTTCTTCTTCATAATCTTCAAGCTCACCTCCATCCTCTTCTTCTTCTTCCTCTAGCAGCTCTTCTTCTTCCAAGTCTTCCTCTCCTTCTAAGTCATCATCACAATCACCTTCATCATCACTGTCCACTAACATAATGGAACTATCACCTGACTGATCTTTTTTGTGACTCAACACTGCAGCCTTTTTTCGGTGCTCTGCCTCAGCAGCTTCACGATCTTCATCATTAAATTCAGCAGATCCATCTGACTCATCATTAACCTCCTCTTCCACATGACTTGAAGCTTCACAGCTTGAATGCATATTAGGAGAACCATTGACATCATGAGAGTCCATTGGAGTAGCACTGAAACTAATTTCCTCTTGATTGAATTGTAGAGAAATAGGCAACTCTTTATTACCATTACATGTAGATCCATTTGAATCCTTTGGCAATTCAGCTGCAGATGGGTGATAAGATAGTTGGGTGTCATAATTGGCAGAACTATCAATGGGCATCAAGTTGTTTTCAACTTCAACTTCTGCATCTTCCAATGTATCAGATACTAATTGACTGAATGCCTCAGAAATAACTGGCAGAGGAGTTTGGACGTGCAGTTGCTTTGAATTGCCTCCATGAGGAATAAGTTGTTCACAATCAAAACTTTCAGAGAGTTCATGTCTATCAGAAGGGTCAGCAAAGCGCTGTTGGATCTGCCCATTACTTGAAACACTATTCTTAGGATCCATGTCATCATAAAGATTGACTTCAGCTTCATTGTCCTGAGCAAACTTATGTTCAGCAACAGGAGGAGATGTACAATTGATACTCTCATGATTGCTTGAATCATAGTTGGACTGTTCAATACTTTGTACGTCTTCCACCTTGCATAGCGAGGAAGCTTCATCAAGATTATTCTTGTCCTTCATTGCCTCACCACTGACAATCATATTACATTGGGAATTTCATACAATCAGCATGAGTATGCCATAATCTGGAATGACTGAAGGTACAATATAAGCAACCAGCATCGATTGACCTGTAATTTTAAGCAAATGAAAAGATTATAACCATGACCAGCCACATTCACAAGTAAATCCAACAACTTATTATAACAACTAAGAGCAATTGTTGAAATGAACAGGCCTCACATAGGTCACAATTGGAAAGGAGAAAAAAGTTGTTTCAACATAAATTGCAATAGAATTTGACATACTGGGACAAGTCTATTTTGTTGAGAAGCTTGTTGCTCTCAATGCTCTGAACTACACTGGTTTTTCACCTTCACAAAGGACAAAGGTGTTTCAACATCAGCAACAGTCAGCATTGTTAGACAATGTGTACTGTCAAACTGTGTAAGAAGGAACAATTTAAAGAATTTTTGTTAATAACTTCTTAACATGAAACATTTCATAAATGACTTTGGGCTCATTTTAACCCTTTCCCAGGCACTTCAAGGCAGGCAGACATAGAAATTTGATGAAATGATGAATTTGATGAAAAGGAAAGCTATTCACCTTGGCTAGGTGAATAGCTACTAGTATGGAATATATCTACTTGGCAAGCCGCGACTGAATTTTTTGAGCCGTGGTTTTATGGATTTGCCAGCCGTGATTCCATTTCTACACAAACAGTTCAACACTATTTGGTGGAGCCTCGGGTAAGTTTCATTCAAGATGTCGTGCGCTACGTGTGATCGGTATTATTGCAAAAAATCGGTTTTCCGATGCCGACCGCCAAAAATGGATTTCAGATTCGTAATCTACACCCCAAAAAACATATAATTAAAAAAAAACACCCTTTTTTTTGGATGTAGTTAATCTGCAATAATACCTTTCATACCTACTGAAATTATATGATATTAGAGCCACGATATTTCAGACAAAAATAGGACTTTTCCAGACTAGAATAGCTATTCACCTTGGCAAGGTGAATAGCTTTCCTTTGATACAGTGCTCTGCCAGGTGACTGACTATAAATGAAAAGGTGGATCAAAAGTGGACAAACTGTTTCAATTATATAGTACCTACATCAGGTTTGTTATAGAATTAGTTGGATGTCTCTTGTAGTCTTGTTTGATAGACATCTTTCATTTTCATTTTATTTAATGGATTTTTGAAAAATTTTCCATGCCCTTTGTTTGTAATGATCAAGTTTAAGTTAATTATTTAGTTAACCAGTAGTCCAGTACTGTAGTAGGTACATATACCACATTTGGGGGCAGGGCTTAGGTATGGGCAAAACTAAGCTAAGGTAAGATTTTGTGACACAAAAATCAAAGAATGCTAATTTGCGAGTGGATATTCACAATAAGTACACAAAGTTGAGCTATATGAGACGTTTAGTAGGAACGAATATCGAGTAGTGCGGAGATGGTCAAGTAAAAAAAATCAAGTTAATTTTTTGTTTTATTTGTATTTTGTAGCTACTAACATTTAGTGAAACGATGTTCGTAGTTGCGAGGGCCTCGTACTGCTAGAATAAGTTGCAAATAATACTAGCACTTCGATCACAAATGCCACAAAAAACGCAGTTAATAGTTGTTGAATTAACTAATAGTAAAAAGAACACATCACTAACCATGGACACCTGTGAAAGTAAACGGCCCAGCAATCAACATGAATGTTGATGGCTTGATGCAAATGCAACGGCAAACACGCTTCCTGCAGCGGCTGCACCGTTTCAGAAACAACTTCGGTCTTCGGTAGATGGCGTTATTTCGTCAAGGAGCAACGCATATAAAGAAAATTTCATATACAACAACCGTCTTTTGTAAATTGAAAAACAAAGAACATCTAAATTAGGTGTATATAATGCTTATTGAGTTTTTGAAGGATAGTTCTACTGAATTTACGTTCTCAATAGAATCTGAAACACATAGGCGCGACATATAGCGCGGAATTAAATTGTATGAGTAGGAAAAATGGTAAAAATATTATGAACTGAATTTTACAATTTTAACTAACAAACTAATTTTACAATCTTAGCATGAATAAAATTCATGTTTTTTTGTGACCCAATCAATAAAATACAGTTCTAAACGTTGGCGTTTCGAGCAGTGAAAAACCATCACTCGCATAAGCTGGGCGTGCTCTGTGCTACAATACACGTTCTAAAAACAGCGTTAATATTCATACATGAAAAGTATGGGGTCACCATTCAGTAATTCACAGATATATCTATCATGTCTTCCTGTCCCTGTTTGAATGCCGACAGAATGGGGGAAGCCACGGCTTCCTGGGTCAGAGAGTTTCACAGTCTAGTACCGGGTGAAATAGAGTGGTGGTATAATCGCACATCCGTTCCTGATGTAATACCAACACCAAGAACTTCTGTTATTGGCCTCCTCGGGTGCTGCGGACAGCGGCTGAAGCATGTAGAGTGAGACACTAATGTCCACCGGTTCTACGGCGATTTTAGACACCATGCAGGCTTTGCCCGCTGCCCTTCTCTGTGCGGGAGCTCGTGGTCTAATTTTACCACAAATCACGAGGCTCTTAACTGTGGGCTGAAGAGTCGAGGATCCATCTCGAAGATCTACACTAGACTGCCAACATCGCGGAAACTATGTACTGTTGGTGCCACACGAAAGACGCGCACTCTATGATTATTCAGGATTCGGTTGGTGACGGCTCTCGCGGCCTCGCCCGTGTGGCCTTCGCTACAATGGACAACAAAAAGTTTCGCATAAGAGGTTTTTGATGATGGTAACGCCATGGTGAGACCATGACTGTCCACACAAACCTTTCCGGACCAAACCTAGCCCCATTAGCTGCAACAAGGTGGAGAGACGGGGTGGTGTGTGGAGGTTCTTGGGGGTGGTGTGTGGAGTTGTTCGTACTTGTTAAGCTACGTACTGGCAATCAGTACATAGAAAAACTGGAATTTCGCGTTATAACAGATTTTATGGACGAAAATTGTGCACGTTGATGTTCGTGTATTATGTAAATTGTACCGTATTAACGGTATTTGCAGTGTCCAATAGTTTTCCCATTTATTCTTTACTTCATCATTATAGCAGCCATTTCTCGATCAATCTCCTTGTTGTAGATATGTCATAACATATGTTATAAACTAGAATTGCGAAATAGGGAGGGCAATTCTTTAACCATAAGCAACAAATTCATTACAACCAACAAACTGCAGACTTAAAGAGATGACAGGAAATGGAAAAAGACAGGATCTTGTCTATAAAATAACTCCATCCTGAACAGACACTACTCGCAGATTCCTATTAGTACTATACCCCCTAGGAAGGAACGCTATAAAAAAGCAACGCCGCAGAGATTAACGAAACCTTCGGGACTTCAAACGAGCCGGAGACACTAACAGAGGTCGACTTAACTTTAGTTCCGGTACTTGGTTTTTGTGAAGCTACCAAAATGAGATACCTGTACATACTGAGGTTCTAAAACAAAAACAGGATTTCATAATAAAATTTCATTTGACAACGTAAATACAATTACAGTTCAGCATCAATAATAGAAAAAAAATTGAAAGTAACATCGAGACGAAGATGAACAACATAAGAAGCAGAGGTCTCTCACGAAGCAGGACATACATTGCTCTGAGATTCCAGAAGCGCAGCTCCACTGCAATGTGAGGCAGGATATTTACAATAAAATGTTCATTCAATCAAATAAACCTAAACAAAAGAATATGAGGTCATGAGAGGTGAACTTACTAACAAGTCTAAATATAATTACCTGCTCATATCTACTGAGTAGTTCAAGAAAGAATTAAAGCATTGATATCTGGACTCGTGAACAGAAACAGATAAGCTGTTTTGGCTGAAAAAAAAAAAAACAATCCATTGAGGTGATTATCCTCTTCAGTTTTTCTATTGGATAGAATGTATCAAAGGCCATCGGGGCAGAAAGTTTACAAAGTCAAATATAACAAACACACAACAGACGTGTTTTTATTTGACTTTGACATTAACAAGGGTGCAAAGAATATACATGACTTCAGGTACTACAAATGATTGAAAATGAAAGGAATAAGTACAAACTAATTATATAAAGTTAATCAAGAAGCATAAAACCAATGACTGGTAATAACATGGCATCCGCACCATTTGATCGTAAATGAGATGCCACACGTTGAAGAATTATTAAATTTCTAATAATTGGGAAGAAGTGAGAAGAAATATGGCATTTAACTGGAGTCTTGAAAACTTTCTAGACTGCATGATTATCAAGAGGCATCGCCTCATAAATACAAGCTGTTACATGAATGACATGACCAGCTGCCGTAACATCTTACGTTACAACATAGCAGTTGTAATAATGACGGGACGTTAATTACAGTTGTATTACTAGTTGAATGCAGCCACGATGCAAGACATGCTGGGATGGAAGAAAGAGGTAAGGACATGTGCAGGAAGTGCTCGTATCATTCGACTTAATACATTTATGAATAAGAGAGCAACGTGACAACACTGTATCATGCTACGTCAAGTTATGGAGACATTGCACCCATCTTAATGCCGAACAATGGCCGCTTTGTACAGTAAATACAATAAATCTAGATTTATATCCATTCTTGTGTACATCAACACTGACCGGTGTCTAGCGAAAATATAAATATACCTTTGAATAATGTTCTATCAGCTAACTATAACTAATATCTAACTTTGCATTGAGTAACCATAAAAATATACACAACGTCTGACAATACATCCTTGTACAGTAAACTCTTATTACAAAATTCACGGTACAAGCCATATTTTCTTCGTACTAGGCGGAAGAGGACAAGACTGTCTCATTTGATCATTGTAAAATGAAGGCGTAAAACTAATCTATTAATTCAAGACGCCTTATTATATAGAAGGCATAAAAGAAATCAAAAGCCTAAAAAACGTACGAGTCTGCTTACAAGAAGTTAGAAAACCGAACCTCCTACCTGCGCATACACTCAACGAGCGAGAACAGAGGATTTCATCACACAAATATTCAATACTATATAAAGACATAATCCCACAGTCGTGCATGTCTCAATTTCAAGTAGCAAAACAGCCTTACATGATTTCAAACAAAATGAAAAATGCTATTTATAATTTTAGGAGCAAATATCAAATAAAATTAACACATAACGAGATGAATTCATGGTATTATCACGGGAATACAATATAACGTTTAGAAACAGGTAAAAGTTAGAAGGTTCGTGTTCAGAAGTTCAAAGAATTTGAAGACAATCGAAAGCTTGGGGGTCGCTTTCCGTGCTTTATTTCCGCCTGTACTCAACTTCGTCTGAAAATGGTTTAAATTTTCATTTAGAAGTCGAATAATAAATCTAACAGAAATTTCGACAAAAGAGCTAGGTACACAATTCAATATGAAAAATCGTTAATGGCGTTTTGCTAGCAAAGCTGAGACGAAATATTTATTTTAATATCTCAAAGTGAACATTAAATTCAATTACAACAATTCGAAAGGCGAGAATGACAGTGAGCGAAAAAAATGAGTGAAGTGAAATCTGTAAGAAGTTAATAGCAGCAGTAAAACACTAACACGAGGCCAGGAGCAGGACAGAGCAGCTATGATGCCCCTCTCGTTGCCGAGAGAATGGACTGTCACCACCAACCTGCGAAAACAAAAAAAATTATTGTTACAAGTGAACATTGATACTGAGAATACTTCTATCAAGGTAAAGTTCCTTACAATTATAAATTCAAAGAAAAATTTATAAGAAACAACTGAGTGATTATTAAAATGAAAATAACTTTGTATCTAAATGTAATGTGCTGCCAATGGGGGCCAGCATATTGCATTTTCAAGCTCACGCAGCTAATGTCAGGTGTCACAAATGACACAATTTAGTGTTTTTCATGATCCAAACACTGGAAGTCGGCTTATTGTTGAATGGGGCTGAGCTCACCTGAAGCCTGATGAGGAGGAGTGGCAGAACTTGAGAGGCAATCAGATGCTGAGGGAGGTTTATGAGGAGTCGAGCTAACGCGCTGAGGCTCCTCATCAAGCCTCGTCGTGGTTACCTCAGCGCTCTGGTGAGATGGCGAGTTGGGCGACACCGATGAAGCACAAGACACGCGGCACAGCTGAAAATCTCCTGTGCTGCTAACGTCACAGTTTTCAGATTCGTTCTGTAACGTTTGAGTTGAAATGGATACTGATGAATGGCCAGCATCAGAGCAATTACTGCTGCTTGATAGTAGGTGCTGCTGGCCGGCAGAAATTACGGTGCCTTGGGGACTCAAGCCTGCAATGCTCGTCTTTGCTACGAGTGGCTGCTGCATGAACACGTGTTGCTGGTATGTCAGGTAGTCGGGCGCAAGCACGGCTGCAGGAGCGCCCAGACTCCGGGCGCTCATGACAGCTTGGTTGGCGTTATGCGCATAGAGATGCACGCCGCCGCTGTTGTTGCTCACAGCTGGCGGAGAAGATAGACACGTGACGATTTTTCCTCCTTCAGTGGAGGCGCCTTGAGATCTCACAGCCACCATTTGTTGAGCAGGAGATGCAGTAACTCCGACTATCTGCACGGGGTACGTGAGGCACGTGTTGGGATCCGTTGACAAGAAGGTGGCGTCTGAGGGAAGTATGACGCCAGGCGAAGCACTAGAACCCACCAATATAGCGGGAGGCTGAAGCGTTCCAGCCGTCAGAGTGCCTGCCATGCTCGGCCCCACCATCTGTACGACATTGATTGCAGTGGGTGCAGATGCAGCAATCATACTGCCAGCACTGACATTTGTGATCACTTGGTGCGTGCCAGCGCTCGATGCTTGAGAAGTGAAACGCGCTTGTGATCCAGTGACAACTAACTGCTGCTGCTGCGGTCTGCTGTTCACTATGAGGGTTGGCAAAATGTTTGGTAGGGCCTGGGAAGATGAGCTGTTCCTACGACGACGGCGCTTTCTCGGCGGTTGAGGTGAAGGTGCAGGATCTGGAGGAGTGGAGTGAGGAGTGGAAACTGTGGAAGATCCAGATGGGGAGCCAGTGCTGTCAAGACGTCCATCTGTGGTGACCACGTGTGCCACTTGGAGCTGTGGGCTGCTGCTGCTCAGAGGCAGAGGAGTGCGCGTTCCTGATGAGACAGGAGTGGCTTGCTGTGTGGTAACGAAAGCCGTACAAGATGTGGGCAAAATCTGCGCATTACTGCAAATAGCGCTGATGCTACCAAGGCCTCCAATACCGGCAGTTTGTTGAATGATGAGTGGCGTGGCTGACGGGAAGGGGTTGACGAGATGGACGAGAGGTTGAACAGGCTGGAGAGCACTCAGTGAAGCCACATGAGAAGCGTGTTTAGGGCCGCTGACCACCACAACACTGCTGCTACTTACTGCCACTGTCGGCTGCTGAACAAGAATGCCACTTCTTACAACACCGTCGTAAATGCGGTGGTGTAACGATGTCGCTAGAGTGCTTTGCTGCGAGCCCCCTACTGCTTGTGGCAGGAATGGAGGTGTGTGGCGAGCTGTGGAAGCAGTTACAGATGCAGAAGATGGTAAGCTACACGACACGCCATCCGATGGGAAAGAAGAAGCACTGGAGCACACGTGGGAGACAGGAGGTAAAGGAATGCTGCTCACAATGTTTTGAACCATTTCCAATGGCGTCTGCGAACATGTACTGCTAATAGGTCCTGGGCTGAGTGGTTTATTGCTACTATCGCTCTCATGAGCATTGCTTATAAAAGAACTGTGTCTAGTTGCAAGACGACCGCGCAATGGTGTATTTAGCACATCAGGGTCGATACTTGTATGATTATTTGGTTTAGTAGCCTGATTCTTCAGGGTAGCCAGAGATGATGCTGAAAGTGCTTCTGCGCTATTGGAGCAGCCATCATCAGGATCGGAAGTTGTATCGTTGCTGGCATCATCGTCGCCACAGTCCGTGTCTTGTGTGTCATCCTTATCCACATCAAAGTTACTCGTGGGACTTGCCCGCAGCACCCGACTCCTTATGGCGAGCATCTCTGTGCCTAGAGCCTGAGAGGCTTGGCCAGTTGAGCCAACGTTGCTCCGCCACTGCTGAGTCTTACAATCTGATGTAGAATGAGAGCTGTCAAAACTGATGCACGCTTTAACTCCTTCATTAGATTTGTCAGGAATATTAGTGGCTTTAGGACTAAAAGTTTTCCTAGTACTAGTGACGTCATCACTAACACCACTTGTCTCAAGCCTAGCTGAAGATCGCGTAAACGCCATTTCACCATTTGGTTGAGAAGTCTCCGCTTTAGAAAATGTCTTATGGCCAGGATTTTGGGTGAAACTTGACTGGGTATTCCCATCAGGACGGTTATGATGTACATTTTCTGGCGGAGAATTGTGAGCGCCTGCACCACTGGAAACAAGATCACACTGAGATTTGAGGTCAGGAACGCGAAGCTCGGAGGAAGCGGAGCTTGACTCGGGCAGTGCCCACTTTGGCTTTTTATCGGATTGGTTGACACTACTATCATTTCCCTCCTGTTTAACACTATTTTCTGACTCTGGCCGAGAAGGTATCACAGATAAGTAGCCTCGTTCACTTACACGCGGGGAAGACGATTTAGGTCTGGCAGGCAAGGACGACATCTTCGGCGTCGGCGTGGAAGAACATATTGCTGTGATAGTTATGCTTTCGGCCATGGACGGCAATGCTGATATTGAGCTACTTTTTGCTGTCTCAGAATTTCTGAGTGAAACGTTTCCTTCAGACTTGAGCTGCAACAAGCCATTTGGTAGTGTACAAGGAACACTGGGGGATCGTCCTAAAGTTGTTGAACCACAAGATGAAGTGGGCAAAAGCGTATTATTGGGCTTAGTAGAGGATGGAGGGATGGGAATGGAATTCTTCGATGAGATTGTCTGTAAAGAGTTATTGAGCAAATCTGTAGAGCAGTTCTGAGTCATGGCACTCGGCGGAGACCCTAGAGCGCCAGATGCTGACAAATTTACCACGGGACCATCTGACTTGAGTTCCACTGGGCAAGTCTGCCTAGGAAAAGCCACCGATCCTTGAGGGGAAAACTGACCTGGCCCACCGGCCATTGTGCTGTTCAGCATTGCGGTCTGCTGGGCAAGGTAAGCATTTGGATCCTCCAAGAAGGAAGGCACAACAATAGGAGATCCTTCGTCAGCAACCTTGGGACGTTTTCTTGCCCTGCTTATTGCAGCTCCACCCCCACGGCGTCGCTTGATGCCTCCAGACTTGTCATCTTCGGGTGGCCATTGAGAACCCATACGCGGCCCCATAGGCATTCGGTACCCTCCTGCCGGGGCCGGGAAAGGACCTCGCATCATTGCGCCGCGTGGCACCATGGGCTGCATCATGCCACCTCGCATAAAGCCCGGTCGACATGGGTCCTGCGGCATAGTATGACAAACATTACTTCATGACTAGTAACCATGATTTGCCTAGCAGAATTATTCAACACTTGGATTTGCCTAGCTGTCAACATGATTTGCCTAGCAATCAACAGTTGGTCTCACAGTTCTATTGAAATTTTTTTCTTGCAGTAAATATGATTGCACATAAATGCGACTGATGAATGGTAACCTGGTAAATCCTTTCATGCGTTTCATAACTGAAATTATTTTGCAACATACAAAACCAATGAGCCACTCAAGAATATTTCGGCTGAATAATTTAATTCCGTGATGCCAAATCAAAAATATTTCAATGTTAATAAGATATGACCTCACTGGAGCAGGTACACAAGCATGAGGCTCACCTGCATTTGATGTTGCGCTGCAAAGCCTCGTTGTTCAAAATGCGGACTTTGGAGCATCATTTGCTGCTGAATTGGGAAAGCCTGATGATGGATCATTTCTTGAGGCTGCATCATCATTTGAGGCTCTGGTGAAGGTTGCATCATCATTCTCATTTGCTTCTGATGCCCCATTTGCATAAACTGTTGCTGCCGCTGATGGCTAATAGTAGGACAAACTGCGTCATTTGAACCAAACCCGGCGTCGTTACCCTTTTTATTGTCAGCCAAGGACACAGACCTAGCGGCTGCATTAGCAGGTCCTCGAGCCGGACCAGCAGCAGTAATAGGCTCGGCTGCTGACGCTGAGCATGACACGACTGGTGCAGTACCAGCCACGGATGACACAAGCGACACGCTGCACGCCGGCGACGATGTTACTAGGATAGAAGATGACGTCGCGTATGCTTGTGACGCGGATAGCACAATATCGGCGGCGCAACTGGCGAATTTTTTAGGGGATAAGCTATTATTGGTGCCCATATTTCTTATAGATATCTCGGATATAACGGGATTTGGAATAGAACTGCAAGCAATTGTTGATGAATTGGCTGGTTTTGAAACCGGGACGTTCAACGAGGACGGATTAGATTTAGGCAAGTGAGGCGCAGCAGCCGAGATAGCAGAATTGGAAGAGGTATTCTTAATGGCAATACACATGGAAGTGCCAGCTATGGCAGTAAATCCCGTTGAAGAACTAGCTACGGCCAAAGAATTTTTCAAAGGGTTTTTTGAAGGCAAGCTGGAAAAAACGGATGCAGTTGTTGGCGATGGCGAAATTGATATAGTTTTAGATGCAGTTCCTGAGGCACTTTGAGCAGGCAACACAGAACTGCTGAGGGAAGCTGTTGCCGGGAAAGTAACAGTAGAGGAGCTCGTGACTACGGCGGTAGAGCTCAACACTCCAGGAGACTTGGCGATGGTTGCGAGGGCGCCGCTTGTTCTCAGGCTACCCGGTGACACTGTGCTGGATGAGCAGCCAGGGGGCGGTGCAGAACTATTCCCATCTGATAAACGGCATAATTTCCAATTAGCAGCTTTCATTCGAAATTAAAAAACAACAAAAACACGACAGAAAAAAGGTATATGAATGTGTAATTCCTGGCAACTAAGAAAATATGGATACAAAATATCAATATGAATAAGTACAAAAGATATACTGCATCGTTAACAATAACACTGAAAGAAAATTTTTTTCTATCCAATTCGGAAAACTCACGCGAAGAGGAATGTGTGTGGGTCGGCGTGACACCACCAGTCTTGGGCTGAATGGCCTGCGTCAGAGTGGCATCACTGGAGCTGTCACAACTGGCTGGTCCAGGTTCAGTCTTCGGGCAGGGGTCGGTTTGCTTGTGACTGGCGGCTGGTTGAGGGAGTTGGTGGTGGTGAGGAAGACAAGAGTTAGCGGACATTTGGTGATGAAGAGGAGGAGTTGCATGTGGTGGGTACCCAGCATGAGGAATGAGCTGTGTGTGAGGGCCAGCAGGAGACATGTGGTTGTAATGACACACAGCTTCATGACAGGGGCGCGACTGTAGCCCTAGGTGCTGCTGTCGGGTGGCAGTCATATGCTTGGTGAAGGCATCTGCCAGCTTGCGGCGATGAGTACACGACTGTAGCACGTCTTTATTGTTCAGCTCAGCCGGAAGTGTGGGCCGGTCAGGTACCTGAAATATCAAGAATAAGAAACCAATATGAAACATAGTAGCGCAAGTAACAAATGCACGTTCTATATATCTGTCAATTTTGAAAATAAATTAAATGCAATGATTCTGCACCAGAAATTATTCAATTCATAATTTGTTGCCTAAAGAAACATTATTATGATTTTTTTTTGTGGCAAAAGTCCATGTTCATATTTTTGTTCTGTAGTACCGGTACCGCTAGAGATATAAAGCGTCTTGCAAGAAAGTGCCCAATAGAAAATTACAAGGATAATTTCTGAGAGAGATTTTCATTTTTTGGAACATTTAGCCAATGGTTCCCACAGGTGCATTTAAAATATTGATTATTTGCACGGAATACCTTTAACAACATTCATTTATACGTATTGTTCATATTTATTAACAACATTCATATCTTAACAACAAAATCAACTGACTAAGAGTTGTTCTAGTTTTTGCCATGCACGAAGAAAATCTCTAAAGTGAGAGCACAGAACTCACGTTTGGGTCAAAACAGAAGACGCTGGCCACCTTCAAAGGACACTGCAGCCCACACTTGCATGTGCCTTCAGTAGTCAGGTATTGTGATACTGCAAGTGCTGAGCTTAGTTCATTTCCACTTGGACTGCACAAAAACAGACGATAAATCATTAAAAGACATTAATAGTTAATATGGTTAACAGGAATTGACAATGAATAAACAAATTTAATGGTTTCCATTCATTATTTCTGTAGTTAATTTGGATATTATTAAATCTAATAAAAAAAGTTCCCGGCAGCTACATATCATGAAAGAATCTCTTTCATGCAATATAATAAAACAAATATGTACCAGAAGATTCAATAATACAATCAAACCAAAGAACTCTTCAGCGCAAAAGGTTCACTTACACAAGTGAATTTAAAAAACAAATCAGTAGCTAAATTACCTGACATAGACAACGCGATTAGCTGAGATAATCCGCCTCCAGCCAAAGGGCACGACCACGAGAAGTGCTCCAGGATGACTTGGTGTGGAGTGCATCAGAGAGTTGTTTGTAGGAGCTACTGAGTAGGCGGTGGGAGTTATTTCATCTCCAGCTAGATTAGGATTTGAACTAGAGAAGCTTTGAGTATTTGCAAAACTGACATGACACTCCTTTGAAGGCACAACATTCACTTGACTAGATGTAGATAAAATTTTACACGCATTGGGGCTTTCGACCATCATGTGAGATGCATTAGGTGTTGATGACCTTCCTGACATGAGCTGCACGCTGTCACTGCTACCAGACCGCACACTTGAATCGACGCCACTGTCAACAGATGCACCGTCATATCCCACTTTATTGGTTTCGTTTTCCGAGCTATAATTGTTCGTGAAATTTGGTTTATCGGCATCAATTGAAGGACTTGGAGTAATACTGTGAGGCACAGGAGTAGAGATGCCAGGTAGCTCTTTTTGCTGAGGCACCTTCTCACATTCATTAACTGGCTGCCTTTGCTCAAAACTGGAAGATCTGCTGGGAGAAGGCCACACTGACGAAGAACTTTTTAGCTCATTTTGAGAGGATAGTTTTGAGCTAGTTGGGCCGTTATTTCCTTGTGCCGAATTCAAGGACAAAAAAGCATTATTATCACTATTAATGGAACTCTCGACAGCCATGTTTGGCTTAGTTGCAGTCCCAGTACCAGGAATCCCACAAGCTTGGCGAGGACCGTTGAAATTTGAATGGCTTAAACCAGAAGAACAGTCATCACGAGCAGTTAACTGATCTGTGTCAATGTTTGTTCTTGTTCCAATGAGTGCAGGCTGTGGGGAAGTGCTATTTTTAATATTACTCGAATCAGAGGAAATAGAAACAGAAGGCATACTGTAATTAGAGGCTAATTCTTGATTTGGAGAAATTTCTTGGTCGGACTTCATTGGTTGATCTCGCGTTGGGCGTTTTGCTGGCCCAATCTGTACTGCAGCACGAGGTATTGCTGTCGCCACAGGATGATCTGAATGAGGCAGCTGAACATCAGAAGTGCGATTCACGTTGGCATTGTCACTGGAAGATGAGCAAGCGCTATCACAACGTGGGCTCTCTTCACTTGCAGTTTGCGCCTCTGTCCCACAGCCTGGTTTCTCGCTACTACACACTACTCCTTTGTTGCCTATGCTGCCATAATTATTAAATTGTTGAGACGAATTGGCGACAGATGTCATACACGCCTGGCTCAGAGAATTACCTCCTCCATTAACATACATTGCCTTGGAAACATTCATCTGAGGCCTGGCAGGAGTAATCATAGAATTGCACATGAAAGCATTAGGATGCTGCATGTGTTGCTGGTGACACATGAACTGCTGAGGTGTAGTCTTGTGGTGAGCATAATGTCCCATATGATGCTGGTAGCCCATGGGCTGCTGGCAGTAGTGTTGGTTGGACTGTCCACAATTGTTAGCACCACAGACATCCATGTATGCATCTCTCGACATCATGACGCCGTTACTTTTGTAGTGCATTGAGCGACCATCCATGCAGTGCATGAGAGGTGCACCTGCTGGGGAACAGCCCGTACCAGCAATGGCCCCGGGTGCCCTCAAGGCTGGTGGTGACATCACTGGCCCACCGTATGCAGAGCAGCTTCCATCACCAAGTGAGCCCACACAGCCCATGCTTCCCAGTCCACTGGCACCCACCATAGGTCCTGGCAGACGTGGCCCGCACATCATTCGTGCGTGACACAAGCCCACACCACCGCTGGCAGACATGTTCATGCCACCATTACCTGGCATATTCATCCCATTATTGCTTAGCATATTCATGCCATTGTTGCTGGAGAGACTAATGTCATTGTTGTTAGGCATATTCATGCCATTATGGGTCATCATATTCAATCCATTGTTGCTCATCATGTTCATTCCGTTGTTACTCATCATATTCATGCCATTGTTGCTGGGCATGTTCATGCCATTGTTGCTTGGCATGTTCATGCCATTGTTGCTAGGCATGTTCATGACACTGTTGCTGGGTATATTCATGCCATTGTTGTTTATCATGTTCATCCCATTGTTGGTGGTCATATTCATGCCATTAGTGTTAGGCATATTCATGCCACTGTTGCTAGGCATGATCATTCCATTAGTGTTGGACATGTTCATGCTATTGTTATGCATGATCATGCCATTGCTGTTAAGCATGTTTACACTATTGTTGTTGGGCAAGGTCATACCATTGTGGCTTGGCGTGTTCATGCCATTATGGTTTGGCATGTTCATGCCACTGTTGCATTGGACATTCATGCCGTTAATACCAGGCATATTCACACCACCATGCCCCGTCATGCTCATACTACTACTGTTCATGCCATTGGCTGCCGTCTGGCCGGGAATATTCATACTGTTGCTGGAAGGCACACTTGTGCCGACACTGGGAGTCACGTTCATAACACTGCTAGAAGACTGGTTCAATGCATTCTTTGACACCACATTTATACCACTATTGATGCATGCAGAATTATTAGAATGAAAATTTATTGCACTTGGTGATACATTAGCAGCGTTTGGGCCATGGTTGTTGGCAGGGATGTTGGATCCCATACTTGCTGCATGATACTGGGTCATGCTGACACACTTCTTGACAGGTCTGTTCATGGAGTGGGAACCCATCATGCTCATTGCATTATTTGACAAACTACCAACATTATTGGGCATCATGTACATGGCGTTGCCGGGCATCATATTCATGGGAGCATTAGGTCCCATGTTCATTTGGCCATTGGAAGCCATACTCATAGCAGCATTTGCAGCCATGTTAGGCACACCATTGGCCATCATGTTCATAGCATTGTTGGGTACCATGTTCACATTGTTTGGTGGCATATTCATGGGGCTTCCAGGCATCATATTCATGGTGTTATTCGGCATCATATTCATTGCATGATTGGGCATCATGTTCATACTATTTGGACCCATATTCATGGAATGATTAACATTATTTGGAGCCACATTCATTACACTACCAGGCATCATATTTACTCCACCATTGGGCATTTGCATGTTTGCAGAGACATTCATATTCATACCATTATTGTGCATAATATTCATGCCACTATTTTGCATCATGCCTGTATTGCCAGAAGCCACGTTCCCTGGATTGTTACCAGCCATGCTCATTGCATTCACAGGAAGCATGTTCATTGTACTGGTAGGTGGCATAAGTGATGCCTCATTACTTGAGGCCATATTCATTGGAGGCCCATTGTTCATGTTTATTGCATTGCTGGGATGCATGTAGCCAGGAACTTTCCCAGCATCCCCATTACAGTTATTGGCATACATGCTGGCATGTGTGTGGCTCTGCAACCACTTTTTGACTAAATGAAGTAGTCAAAAGTGCTTCCACCTCAGGGCATAAGGTTTCTGAGGAATCACATATTTTGTCAGGAGAGATGGTCATGAGGAGAAGAGACTCAAGTGAACTTGTACAGAAGTTCACAATAATTTATTGTTCATGAAGATTCTTCATGGAGGAGTGTTGACAGGGAAGCTGCCTTCATTTCACATCCTGATAGCCCAAACCTGCATTACATAAAAAAATTAGTAACAACTTCCCAGTGATTTTGGCAGTGTGAAATAAATGGATTCACTGCTTAAAATTTTCACAGATCAAACAATATAATTTTTCCAAATATTTTCATACTGAGGGTTCAATTGGGTTTTTATGATTTACGGTATATATCTAAACAACAATCAAATATCATGGATCTCATTTACGTAAATTTATATAAATATTGACAACTCGTCACAAAAATGCTATATGGTTATTTCAAACTTAGGGTATGTGAAAAGACAATTAAATTCATGAGGCTAGCAAAATTACACAAAAATACTCACCACTTGAATTAAATGCCCATAAAGAAACCATCAAATGGAATTATGGCATAACTTCACATGGTTATTCCCATGAATCTGAAATAAAAACACTGTCAACTTTCTTAAAGCCACTCACTATGGTACTTAGACATTCATCACAAAAACATGTATATACTACGGACGGTTTACTATGACAATAAAATTATGCTTTAGAAATGTTAGACTTGCAATAAAAAATGAAAGTATAATTCAACTTCAACAAAATGGCTAATGGAGAATGAAAAATCCTTTGTCTCTTTCCATATTGATTGTAAATTGGGCTATATGGAGAAGAATATATAATTAAAGACTCCCTGATATAGGCTGCACTTCTTGATCTAGTTTTCTCTGGGGCAATGAATTTGGCATCCTCAACATACGGTACACTGTGTTGTGTAATATACCTATACTGAAAACCTGCAACTAAACATGATTGCCAAATAAGCACATGATGTCCATATAGAAAACTTGAAACAACACTAATATCTTGACATAAAAGGCCCAATTTTACAGCTTGACAATCAATTAATCTATTTATGCTTTTTCTCGAAAATGTTCAAATTACATATAAATGACAATTTTAGACCAAAATGGCTTGATTAATAGCAGGAGATAGATCAACATCTCAACCTAAAAGCATTGTAACAAACAAATGACCTTCTAATTGAATTCCTTTTCTGAGTCCTATCAATAAAATAGCAAAGTAGGTATCATGGATACTACTATACCAGCATTATTGTAACTAAATTTTTGAATAAAATCTATGAATATATTGGAAAATTGCAAATTAATTGGAAAATAAAAAGTTTTTTTTATGCAAATATGTAAGACTAAAATGACACATAACTGGCTTGCATATGCAATTAAAAAATTCCAACTTCATTATAAATATAAAATCTCTAAAGTGGTGCATTTTAAATAAATTTGGAATCTATGGCTGACTCATGCACTTTTGATAACAATTAGCTGGTAGATAACCTATCTAGCATGAATATCTTGCACAATGAATAATGTCACAAAGGCTCTAGTCTTGACCGTTATTACCCCATTTGATGCTGTATGATGTATAGCCCAACTAAAAGCTGGTGCTACTGATGGCTGTGACAGGCCTTTAACAGATATGCAGTCACTAATACTCATACATATGTGGACCCACAATGCATATAAACCTTTGTCTACAATTGCGTAGCCTGCATCCATATTTAAACTATTTTTTGTATAAAAAATATATTTTAAACCTTCATCAGAAATGATGCAAATATTAATTAGCTTGAACTGAATATGTAGTAGGTATATTAAAGGCTTTAAGACTAGAACATCCATTCCAGTTCATTATAAAATCAAACAAAGATTGCTAGTGATGCCTGAATATTAGTGGCATAGGAGGCATCTTGAATTGGCTCTGCTCACTATCAATATTTAGGATTAAATTTACTAGTAATCCTTTTAATATGAGATAGTTGGAAATTGTATATTGAAATGTCTTCCACATTGGCAACTGGAATTCTGTTAACCCACCAAAGAACAGAAATTCGCACAGTTGAATGCGTGATTTCATTGCATAAGCAAAAATGTTAGTTTGCTCCGTCAAATAGCTTACGCAGTGTGCATCATGTTAAACTATTGTTGGTGGCATGATTGATTATTAATTCATAAATGTTAATTTATTGTGTTTGACTTAAGATGAATTGCTAATGAATTGATACTTAGTCTAATTGAAATCTCAAAGTGTTGCAACCTTCTTTCTTGATTCTTTCAAGTGTAATTTTAATCCCTCTTATTTTATCCTTTCTATCTTAACTAAAATTTTTTTTACCGAAAAAGTGGCAGAAGTGGATTGAGAATAATACCGTATAATACCGTCAACGTATAATACCGTCAACGTATAATACCATCAACCAGGGCTACTTGGGACAGATTTGAACGATTAGTTTTAAATAACAGTTAATAACTTCTCATGATGAAACATTTCATAAACAAGTTTAGTCTCATTTTATAGCTAATTGGCAGGGCTATGGAATGGCGTTGTCAAAAAAATTCCATATGCTATTCATAAGGTGCCAGAGGCAAAATAGAGATTGTCTGGAGTAGCCCGGTCGGTGGGGGCTACTCGGGACAATGGGAATAAAACTTCATTTCAAAACATTTGAAGCATGCAGAGCCTACTCATCCATTACTAACAATACTCAGAAGTCCTCCTCTTTCATTGTAGATGATGTAGAATGGGTCATAAAAGCCAGGGTCGTAAACAAAGTCAGAAATGCTGGAGTGACTTTGGCCATCGTTTATGACCCTGCTTTTGTTTGCAAAACAAAAGCTTATTATTGATGGGATATTACTGTATTATTGATGTGATATTAAGGTATCCATGAACATGCCATTGAGCATTTACAACAACCTTGTCCACTGCAAGCTTCATATCAGCAGCCTTATAACATTTTTTTCCTATCTGTAAGCTTACAGGAAGGCTCATAATTTCACATCATTTTAATTGGGATTTCCTGTGATCATTAACTTCGCGTGATCATTAACTTTGCGTGATCATTAACTTGGCGTGATCATTAACCTTGGTGAAAGGAATGTTTGAGTGACAACCAGCCTATCTTTTGGAGAAATAAATCATAGTTTAGGTCAATTACTTTTCATTCTATAATGCCTGGTGCACAATTCTATACATGACATGCTATGCACAATTTTGTGATGACCAATGATGTACTAATTTTTCCATAAGTGAAATTTTTTTTGCTGAGCAAGGAAAATGTGATCAATATTCTTTGTTTTTAATCAATTTTTTTCGTAATTGAAGCCTTCGCTAACTGAGGTTCTACCCTCAATGCGTGTTTGGGGGTGTTCCGAATAGCCCCGGGGGGGTGTCCCGAGTAGCCCCGCCGTGCAGAAATGGCTGCCATTTCTTTTTGGAATGAGATAGGCAAATTCTGTCAATAACATTTTCAAGCTGACACCTGGGTGCAACTTTTATGTAAGTAAAATTTTTTAATACAGCGAATATTTTTTTTGCTACATACCTTAGCAGTTGCAACTTTACAAAACATAGTTTTTCACCATTTTTTTCAGGAATTTTTCAAAGCAAGTAAATGTAGTGTTTTTCGACTTCCTTTATACTAGATAGATAGGAAAAATAGTTACGTTTACACCACTATTTTTAGTTTTGCAATATTCCAATTAGTTTCGCTACTACAACAGTTTTACGACGTGTCATAGGCCTGTCCCGAGTAGCCCCGCCTGTCCCGAGTAGCCCAGGTTGACGGTAGCCATAATTCTTAGAATTCCATCCTGACTCAGGGAAAGGGGGCTGGAATGGGAAAAGATGGCAGAACAACCAATGAAAGTAAGTCATTGCCCTTTTTTTAAGTCATTTATGGCACTTTGGAACCAACAGAAGAAAACTAGGAAATTTCACAGTTCAAATCTGTACTTTCTTATTTCAATCAATTTTGGGAGTTGTAACGGTCCCACACGGTCACAAGCGTGGAAAACATCTACCTTTAGGGCCACAACAAGAACTTTCCTGCCATTTCTGGAACTGGGAAATTTCTGTCAGATGAACAGTCAAAAGGGGTAAAAAGGGACGGCAGGGTAATAAGGGACAGTCCTCCAACATTTTGTAGAAATGTTGTAGCAGCCAAACTAATTAAAATATTGCTAAACTAGAAATAATGGTGTAAAGTTCAACATTTTTACTATCTATGCAGCATATAGAAAGTTGAGAAATCATACATTTATTACCTCTAAAAAATCCCTGAAAAAAGTGTGAAAATGAGATTTTGGAAAAGTACCTCTGCTAAGGTCTGTAGCAGAAAAAATATTTGTCGCATTGAAAAAATTTACTTACATAAAAGTTGCACACTGGTGTTGGCTTAAAAACGTGATTGATAGAATTTGAGTTTCTCATTCCAAGAAAAAATGGTGGCCATTTCTGCAAGACGGGGTAATAAGGGACACCCCTAAAATGGCATTTACAGTAGAACCTTGGTTAACAAAGGCTCCAGGTAATGAAAAAATCAATTAACAACAAAGAATTTCGATTACATTTACCTTGCTCAGTGAAAAAATTTCACTGTATAAAAAATTACTGCATCAGTCATCACAAAATTGTGCATAGAATGTCATAGATAGAATTGAGCACTGGACAACAAAGAATGAAGAGTAATTAACCTAAACTATGATTTATTTCTCCAAAAAATATTATGGTTGTCACTAAAATATTCCTTCCTGTTTCAGGTACGTTTTTTACAATCTTTTTTGTTATAGGGAAATCACATGACTTGATTAAAATTGTGCGAAATTACAAGCCATCCTGTAAGCTTACAGATAGAGAAGAAATGCTATATGGCTGCTGTTATGAAGCCTGCAGTGGACAAGGTCATTGTCAATGCTCAATGGCATGATGATGATGATCACCACAACGTCACTCGACTGAGTGCCGCCCAGGCCCACCCCCCTCCGGAGCGCCGAGCCGGTCTTGCCACACTCTGACCAATTGGGACACTTCCACTGGCTTATTCCATAGATCTTCAGGCTGCAGGCTGGTTGGAATTTCAGTACACCCAAACAGATGTTGTGTGTTGTGGGTGTGGTTTTGACACAGAGGGCATGATGGTGTTGGGTAATTAGCCTCATAGATCTTATTGAGGTATTCTCTAAGCATTGGGCATTTCCCCGCCCTTAACTGCGCCAATGTACGCCTCATGCCTCGGTCCAAAGTCCTCTCTATTTCGTTTACTTTAGGTGCAGGTGCATTTAGAATCTTGTTGGGTGTTCTCGATTCTAGGTATCTCTCAACTGCGGTGGTATGCAATGTCCTCATGTTTCTATTCACCACCACGCTGCTATCACTGTTGTTGTTGTTGCATTCATACACTTTTATGCTATACTCGCTGTTGTATATGGTCTTTTTTATGAGTCTGATTGGTTCTTGGTTCATCAGACTTCTCAGTGGGTGTTCTTCCAGTTTGCTCTTCTCCCTCAGTTGCGAGGCCGTCATCTGCACATGGTTCTTCAGAGGCAGGACAGATGTTTCGTCATGAAGATGTTGTGCGTTGGTGTTGCGTGTGTGTCCTGTGGCAATTCT